TGGTCACATCTGATTCCGTTACGATCTATAAATTAATAAAACCATAGAACACAGGAATGAGAAGAGGAGGTAGTGTTGCTGTAAATGTATGACGGGGAAGGTGAAAAAGCTCATTTAGATTTGCAGGAGAGGGAAGGAGAACAAAAGAGTCGGGTGGACAGTAAGCCGGAGAGAGAGAGTGAGAGAAGAAGAGGGAGACAGGAACAGGCTTGTTTTCCCAGACAGACAGAGAGAGGTGCAATTAAGAAAATTGGGGGAAATTACAGGGTGGGAGAAAAGACTGCGATGTGATAGAGCCTGCTGATAACTTATCAGGACAGAGAGAGAGAGAGGGAGAGAGAGAGGGAGGGAGGGAGACACACACAGTGTGCCATCACAGCTGCAAGATTTGTGACCTGTTGCCACAAGAAAAGGGCAACCAGTGAAGAACAAACACCACTGTAAATACAACCCATATTTATGTTTATTTATTTTCCCATTTGTACTTTAACTATTTGCACATTGTTACAACACTGTATATATACATATGACATTTTAAATGTCTTTATTCTTTTGAAACTTCTGAGTGTAATGTTTACTGTTAATATTTATTGTTTATTTCACTTTTGTTTACTATCTACTTCACTTGCTTTGGCAATGTTAACACACGTTTCCCATGCCAATAAAGCCCTTAAATTGAATTGAATTGAGAGATAGGGAGAGAGATAGGGAGGGAGGGGGAGGGAGAGGGCAATCAGGAATTGTAGAGAGCAAGAAGGAAATGCAGAGAGAGGGAACAACAGGAAGAGACGGGGAGGAAATGAGTGAGAAAGAAGAGGTAGAGAGGGGGACAGAAGAGAGAAGCAGCTGGAACCGCATAGTATGCACTGGTTAACTGGACACAGTGGACAGACTGCACTGACCTCTAGCTCATCTCCACACTGTTGTAGAGACGGGATCTATTCCCCTGGTTCAGTAGGGTGAGACTGGACTGCTGTCTAGAACACCTGAGCAAACGTCCATTCAATGTCTTGTGGGTAAGTACTATCTATAGACACAGTTAGCATGTGAAGCTCACAGGTGTGAAAGGGGAAGAGAGCCCAACTCAAACTGCTGCAGGCGTTTTGTTTCAATAACCTGTATGTTTGTGTGTCTGCAATTCCTGGTGTTAACCACTGTTCAAACGTCTGTTAGTCTGTGCATGTGTGTGCGTGTGCGTTCTCGCTCGCATGCTTGTGTATGTATACTCTAGCCTTCTGTAATGTATGTATTTTAAGATATTACAAATAATATGTGGGAGTACTAATCATTATGTTCTCATTGGCTGATCATTCTGAGTGTACACCTTCCTATTATTGAGTTGCACCCGCTTTTGTCCTCAGAAAAGCCTCAATTGGACTCCTGGACTCTACAAGGTGTCGAAAGCATTCCACAGGGATGCTGGCCCATGTTGACTTCAATGCTTCCCACAGTTGTATCAAGTTGGATGGATTTTCTTTTGGGTGGTGGACCATTTTTGATACACACAGGAAACTGTTGAACGTGAAAAACCCAGTAGCGTTGCAGTTCTAGACACAAACCGGTGCGCCTGACACCTACGACCATACTGCGTTCAAAGGCTCTTCAATCTTTTGTCTTGCCATTCACCCTCTGAATGGCACACTTGCACAATCCATGTCTCAAGGCTTAAAAACCCTTCTTTATCCTGTCTCCTCCCCTTCATCTACACTGATTGAAGTGGATTTAACAGGTGACATCAATAAGGGATCATAGCTTTCACCTGGATTCACCTTGTCAGTCTATGTCACAGAATATTTTGTATACTTTGTGTATTTACATACATTTAAATCTCACTGTTAAAGGTCCTTGCAAGAGAAATATGATTTGCAAGTCAAAGTGATAGCCCTGGAAGAGTCTTGTTTTGACAATAGTTACTGTCAGACATGGCTCTCACCTTGGGGTAATTTTCTGTTCTTTTTTTATTTGACCATTTCCACACATACTGTACATAAAACAGAATGATTGTTATTTATTTCAAACCCATCCCTCACCAGTGGAGGCTGCTGAGGGGAGGACGGCTCATAATAGTGGCTGGAATGGAGTAAATGCAATGGCATCAAACACATGGAAACCATGTGTGTTTTGTCCTATATATTTATTTGATTTTTGATTTTTAATCCCAGCCCCCATCCCCGCAGGAGGCCTTTTGCCTTTTGGTATGCCGTCATTGTAAATAAGAATTTGTTCTTAACTGACTTGCCTAGTTAAATAAAGGTTAAATAAAAAAAGGAGGTTTGATGTATTTGATACCATTCCACCAATTCTGCTCCAGCCATTACCACAAGCCCATCCTCCCCAATTAAGGTGCCATCAACCTCCTGTGTCCCCCACCCCTCCCTTCAGAGGACAAAAGCAATCTTGTTTTAGACACTTTTTTTTAACATATATTTTTCTACATACATGCCACTTTTCCACACAGTATTACATGACAAAAAGTTGAATCCAGGTGAAAGCTATGATCCCTTATTGATGTCCACTTCAAATCAGTGTAGATGAAGGGAAGGAGACAGGTTAAAGAATATTTGTTAAGCCTTGAGACAATTGAGACATGGATTGTGTATGTGTGCCATTCAGGGGGTGAATGGGCAAGACAAAAGTTTGAAGTGCCTTTGAATGGGAGATGGTAGTAGGTGCCAAGCGCACCGGTTTGAGTGTGTCAAGAACTGCAACGCTGCTGGGTTTTTCACGCTCAACAGTTTCCCATGTGTATCAAGAATGGTCCACCTCCCAAAGGACATCCAGCCAACTTGACACAACTGTGGAAAGCATTGGAGTCAACATGAGCCAGCATCCCTGTGTTTTGAAGCTGTTCTGAGGGCAAAAGGGGGTGCAACTCAATATTAGGAAGGTGTATGTGTTATCCTGTAGGGCTGGGAATTGCCAGGGGCCTCATGATACGATATTATCATGATACTTAGGTGCCAATACGATATGTATTGCGATTCTCACCATTCTATATGTATTGTGATTCGATACTGGGATTTTATTGCGATTCGATTTTCCAAACATATTGCTCCCCAAGTTTTGATCAGTCATGGAAATAAATGTGCTGAAACCATATTGACTTCCTATTTTAAAAAAGATGGAGAAAAGCTATGAAGGACAGGGGAGGGAATGGCCGGCAGGGATGTAGCTCAGTTGGTAGAGCATGGCGTTTGCAATGCCAGGGTTGTGGGTTCGATTCCCACGGGGGGCCAGTATGAAAAAATAAATATATATATATACAGTGGGGGAAAAAAGTATTTAGTCAGCCACCAATTGTGCAAGTTCTCCCACTTAAAAAGATGAGAGAGGCCTGTAATTTTCATCATAGGTACACGTCAACTATGACAGACAAAATTAGAAGAAAAAAAATCCAGAAAATCACATTGTAGGATTTTTAATGAATTTATTTGCAAATTATGGTGGAAAATAAGTATTTGGTCAATAACAAAAGTTTCTCAATACTTTGTTATATACCCTTTGTTGGCAATGACACAGGTCAAACGTTTTCTGTAAGTCTTCACAAGGTTTTCACACACTGTTGCTGGTATTTTGGCCCATTCCTCCATGCAGATCTCCTCTAGAGCAGTGATGTTTTGGGGCTGTCGCTGGGCAACACGGACTTTCAACTCCCTCCAAATATTTTCTATGGGGTTGAGATCTGGAGACTGGCTAGGCCACTCCAGGACCTTGAAATGCTTCTTACGAAGCCACTCCTTCGTTGCCCGGGCGGTGTGTTTGGGATCATTGTCATGCTGAAAGACCCAGCCACGTTTCATCTTCAATGCCCTTGCTGATGGAAGGAGGTTTTCACTCAAAATCTCACGATACATGGCCCCAATCATTCTTTCCTTTACACGGATCAGTCGTCCTGGTCCCTTTGCAGAAAAACAGCCCCAAAGCATGATGTTTCCACCCCCATGCTTCACAGTAGGTATGGTGTTCTTTGGATGCAACTCAGCATTCTTTGTCCTCCAAACACGACGAGTTGAGTTTTTACCAAAAAGTTCTCTTTTGGTTTCATCTGACCATATGACATTCTCCCAATCCTCTTCGGGATCATCCAAATGCACTCTAGCAAACTTCAGACGGGCCTGGACATGTACTGGCTTAAGCAGGGGGACACGTCTGGCACTGCAGGATTTGAGTCCCTGGCGGCATAGTGTGTTACTGATGGTAGGCTTTGTTACTTTGGTCCCATCTCTCTGCAGGTCATTCACTAGGTCCCCCCGTGTGGTTCTGGGATTTTTGCTCACCGTTCTTGTGATCATTTTGACCCCACGGGGTGAGATCTTGCGTGGAGCTTCAGATCGAGGGAGATCAGTGGTCTTGTATGTCTTCCATTTCCTAATAATTGCTCCCACAGTTGATTTCTTCAAACCAAGCTGCTTACCTATTGCAGATTCACTCTTCCCAGCCTGGTGCAGGTCTACAATTTTGTTTCTGGTGTCCTTTGACAGCTCTTTGGTCTTGGCCATAGTGGAGTTTGGAGTGTGACTGTTTGAGGTTGTGGACAGGTGTCATTTATACTGATAACAAGTTCAAACAGGTGCCATTAATACAGGTAACGAGTGGAGGACAGAGGAGCCTCTTAAAGAAGAAGTTACAGGTCTGTGAGAGCCAGAAATCTTGCTTCTCTGTAGGTGACCAAATACTTATTTTCCATCATAATTTGCAAATAAATTCATTAAAAATCCTACAATGTGATTTTCTGGATTTTTTTTTCTCAATTTGTCTGTCATAGTTGACGTGTACCTATGATGAAAATTACAGGCCTCTCTCATCTTTTTAAGTGGGAGAACTTGCACAATTGGTGGCTGACTAAATACTTTTTTTCCCCACTGTATATAGTAATAATAATAATGTATGCACTCACTAACTGTAAGTCGCTCTGGATAAGAGCGTCTGCTAAATGACTAAAATGTAATATAAAATGTAAAATACTGGAGTTTTGATGCAGGTACAGCCAACTATAGCAAAAATAATATTGTGATATTGTCAAAAATAATAGCCCAATATGTAACTGTATCGATGTTTTCCCACATCACTACTAGTTAGTGTGAGAGTGTGTGTCCTTTCATTGAAGGCAGTTCATCATCACTTGGCCTTTAGGCAAGAGAAATACATGTGTATGTATGTGTGTTAGTCAGTGTGTGTGAGTGTGTGTACATATGCTGAAGGAGTGACTAGATGAAGGCATGTCATCACTTGGTATGTGTGTATTAGTCAGTGTGTGTGAATCTGTGTGGCAAGTGGTCATTACTTTTGGGTGTTAGAAATGATATACAACAGCAACATGACTCAACAGGGAAACTACATTCTCACCATCAGCTCTCAGCTCTGTATCACCAGAGCCTGAAAAGCAGAGAGAAAGATGGAGAATTTCACGGCTGTCTTCCCGTGAAACAAACTTCACAGGTTCATCAGCCTCCCCCCTCTAGTGTTCAGATCGTAGATTTTACAGTGTGAATAACACAATGGGGTTCTGACGTTTCTCTCTCAGCTCCTAATCAGAAAAGTGGGTCTGTCTCTGTCTCTCACTTCCTTCCGGTCTTCTCACCTTGGTGGGGCTCTGTCTAAAAAACTAATGCATTTAACATTTATGTGGTAATATTTGACATATATATGCATATTATATATAACTCACACCAAACACAAAAAGGCATTCAGACATGCAGGATACACGGTGCTCTCGGCCCCAGCCACTACAGATCAGGAGCTTTAAATCCCACCCCTCGGCTACTCTCTGCTGCTTTGCATGTTAGTCATGTTGTAATTTGTAACACTAACTTGAACAGGCAGTCGTGTCCAAGCTGTAAAGTTATACAGCCCTGCTTTGTTGCTATGCTGCTTCCGTAGCCACACGAGCTGGCTGTTGCATTGTGGGAAGAGTAGTTTCAGTTTCAAGCTCTAACAGACTTCTGTGGACAAGACTTTAGTATAGATGTAGCCAACCTCTTTTTGTAACATGGTCACGTGTTGTATTGCTTGTCACATTAACAGTGTTGTGTAGTTGCTATCCTGACTGTAGTTATGTGTGTGTGTTGCTAGTTGTTAGTTTGTGAGTTTGTTATCAGGACCCCCCCCCCCCCTCCCTCGTGTATCGCACACTGAAAATCAGGAAGTGTAATGCGAATATGACCTTTGTGCATCAAACACAAATGGCACAAAAAAGGTTAGACACACACACAGTGGGAAGAAGAGAACAGACACACTCAGACAGAAGAGGGGAGGAGTGGAGGACAGGTGGGTTAGAAGGAAAGAGAGAGAATGAGAAGAACAGAAACTATGAATAGTTTAACCAGTATATGCTTGAGGGGCTAGTGTGTTTTTCATTCCTGTTAGTGGTGGTGTGCAGACCCTTAGTTTACCTTTTAAAGGTGCTCTCTCTCTCTAGTTCATTATCTAATTGAGGAACAGTGTATGGTATGACATATTCAGAGTAAACACTAGTGGTGATATGATCATTCTGGGGCAAGGAGAGTTAGAGAATTATAGTTACATTTTTAAAGATGAATACTAAGTATTTTTTATTGCGTTAACATTTATAAAGTATCTCTATCTGTAAGAGATTCTGGCCTGTCAGCTATTTTTGTTCCTGTCTGTCTCTTGCTTTCACTGTTTTATGAAAAGAGCCACAAAAAGGAAGGAAGGAGCGAGAGTGTCACAGAACGACAGAGAGAGAAAACGAGAAAAGAGGGGAGGGACGGAGGGTAAGACATATATGAACCTGTCAGCAAGAGTGTCGCTTGTTTTCAGAAGGAGCTGAGAACAGTAAGATGTGTTTACTTTTCTACCTAACATGAGATATATAGAGAAGGAGAAAGAGAGGAAAGAAGGTTTGATGAACAGATGAGTGTGGGAGTAAAAGGGGAAGGGAAGACAGGTTGTTCGGAGGGGTGGTCTTTGCGTATGTGATGTTGAATGAGAGAAATAAAGGGAGCAATACAGCAAACTAATGTGTGGAGGAAGGCAGTTAGAGAGAGAAAGGGATGATAATGGAAGTAAAACAAGATTGTTAAGGAGTACATTTGCATTTACTTAATAACTGGCAAGATGTTGCAAATTTAGAAAGGGCATGAAGATGCGTCAATTACAATGTACAGTATTTGTTACATGACCATGCATTACAATTAGCTAGCCTTGAGGTTGTACCTGTAAGTGTACCCTCATTATCCTGTCTCCTTCTCTTTGGGCCCAGAAGAAGTGAAGGTGAAAATGGTTCGGTGAGTTGAACTCCCCCCTCTCAAGACTCTTACACTCAGTTGCTCAACCCTGGTCTTGATCTGCCTTTGCCTAACGCGTGATGTCAACTTCTCTCTTTCTTTTCCTTGTTCTCTCCGTTCCTTTACCATCACTACTTTGTCCTTTAGTCTTTTCTGCTGTCTTGTGTAACGTTTTGTTTTTAAACTCTGTAAGAATTCCCAGCTATTTTGCAGTCGTTTTTCAAATTCTTGAAATGTTGCCCAATTCTGACTGATTCTACATTTGCATCCTACTGTTAGTCTATCAATAACTTTATCATGTCTTGTGTAGCTAGCTACATCTACACTGAAACTTGGCAACAGATATCAATGTGATGGTCCACTTGCGACTGAGAGGTTGTCGAAAGAAAGATAATAGATTGTACATTTACAATCATCAATCATTCCCTTTAGTTTAGAAAGCATGTTCAGTCCCACCTCTCAGACGTGTGATACTATACTTAGCAACAGGTCGTTCTGTAGAATAGGCTAGTATAGTAGCCACTGAATGAAAAGCTGGTGTGTTGTGGTGAGGTGTGTTCTGTGGGTTTGTGAGTCGGTGGTCTGTCTGTCATCTCTTAGGCCTTATGCAGGCTTTACCATTCAAATGTTATGCTAGTTCTTTGCCTTGAAACAATATTGTATACTTGTATGTTAGTGTAAACTTCAAAAAGGTTGCAATAATGCTGTGAAGACTACTCTATACCTAGTACTGTGTTAATCTATGACCTGATAATGGAATGCAGGGTTTTGAAATGGGATTAAACAGACACACTGTGATTTAACTCATCTTTATTACCACGTCTCATATCATTTCCCACCGAGGGAAGAAACTGAGTATCAAAGAGATGATGTGGCTCAGTGGACAGGTGCGGCAGGGCCAGATGATAGCCATTTGTGTGTGCATGTGCTTATGTGTGTGGCGTGATCTGTGTGTGTGTGGTTTGTATATACTGTACAGTCGTAGTCAAAAGTTTTGAGAATGACACAAGTATTGGTCTTCACAAAGTTCGCTGCTTCAGTGTTATGAGATATTTTTGTCAGATGTTACTATGGTATACTGAAGTATAATTACAAGCATTCCATAAGTGTCAAAGGCTTTTATTGACAATTACATTAAGTTTATGCAAAGAGTCCATATTTGCAGTGTTGACCCTTCTTTTTCAAGACCTCTGCAATCCACCCTGGCATGCTGTCAATTAACTTCTGGGCCACATCCTGACTGATGGCAGCCCATTCTTGCATAATCAATGCTTGGAGTTTGTCAGAATTTGTGGGGTTTTGTTTGTCCACCCGCCTCTTGAGGATCGACCACAAGTTCTCAATGGGATTAAGGTCTGGGGAGTTTCCTGGCCATGGACCCAAAATGTCGATGTTTTGTTCCCCGAGCCACTTAGTTATCACTTTTGCCTTATGGCAAGGTGCTCCATCATGCTGGAAAAGGCATTGTTCGTCAACAAACTGTTCTTGGATTGTTGGGAAAAGTTGCTCTTGGAGGATGTGTTGGAACCATTCTTTATTGATGGCTGTGTTCTTAGGCAAAATTGTGAGTGAGCCCACTCCCTTGGCTGAGAAGCAACCCCACGCATGAATGGTCTCCAGATGCTTTACTGTTGGCATGACACAGGACTGATGGTAGCGCTCACCTTGTCTTCTCTGGATAAGGTGTTTTCCGGATGCCCCAAACAATCGGAAAGGGGATTCATCAGAGAAAATGACTTTACCCCAGTCCTCAGCAGTCCAATCCCTGTACCTTTTGCAGAATATCAGTCTGTCCCTGATGTTTTTCCTGGAGAGAAGTGGCTTCTTTGCTGCCCTTCTTGACACTAGGCCATCCTCCAAAAGTCTTTGCCTCACTGTGCGTGCAGATGCACTCACACCTGCCTGCTGCCATTCCTGAGCAAGCTCTGCACTGGTGGTGCCCCGATCCCGCAGCTGAATCAACTTTAGGAGACGGTCCTGGCGCTTGCTGGACTTTCTTGGGCGCCCTGAAGCCTTCTTCACAACAATTGAACCTCTCTCCTTGAAGTTCTTGATGATCTGATAAATGGTTGATTTAGGTGCAATCTTACTAGCAGCAATATCCTTGCCTGTGAAGCCCTTTTTGTGCAAAGCAATGATGACGGCACGTGTTTCCTTGCAGGTAACCATGGTTAACATAGGAAGAACAATGATTTCAAGCACCACCCTCCTTTTAAAGCTTCCAGTCTGTTATTCTAACTCAATCAGCATGACAGAGTGATCTCCAGCCTTGTCCTCGTCAACACTCTCACCGGTGTTAACGAGAAAATCACTGACATGATGGCAGCTGGTCCTTTTGTGGCAGGGCTGAAATGCAGTGGAAATGTTTTTTTGGGATTAAGTTCATTTTCATGGCAAATCACTCTTCATAACATTCTGGAGTATATGCAAATTGCCATCATCAAAACTGAGGCAACAGACTTTGTGAAAATTAGTATTTGTGTCATTCTCAAAACTTTTGACCACGACTGTATGTATAGGTGTGTAATGTGTTTCTCTCTGTGTATCCAGGTGGTTCCACAGGGATATCTCTGGCGTGGAGGCTGAGTCTGTTTTGAAGAGCAGAGGAGTCCATGGCAGCTTCCTGGCCCGACCCAGCAGGAAGAACCAGGGAGACTTCTCTCTCTCTGTCAGGTAGGAATACACTCCATCTCTTTCTTTGTCCTTATCTCTCTCTCTGTCAGCTAGGATATCCTCTCTCTCTCTTTCTCCTTCTCTCTCCATCAGGTAGGATAGGAACACTTTCTATCTCTCTCTTTCTTCTTCTCTCTCTCCGTCAGCTAGGACATCCTCCATCTCTCTCTTTCTCCTCCTTTCTCTCCGTCAGGTAGAGGTACACTCCATCTCTTTCTCCTTCTTTGTCTCTCCTTCTCTCTCCTCTCAACCTACAGTGTCTTCGGAAAGTATTCAAACCCCTTGACCTTTTCCACATTTTGTTGTGTTACAAAGAGGGATTATAATTGATTTAATTGTTATTTTTTGTAATCATTGCTAGACAACCATTTTCAGGTCTTGCCATAGATTATCAAGCAGATTTAAGTCAAAACTGTAACTAGGCCACTCAGGAACATTCACTGTCCTTTTGGTAAGCAACTCCAGTGAAGATTTGGTCTTGTATTTTAGGTTATTGTACTTCTGAAAGCTGAATTCCTCTCCCAGTGTCTGGTAGAAAGCAGCCTGAACCAGGCATTCCTTTAGGAATTTGCTTGTGCTTAGCTCCATTCCTTTTCTTTTTTATCCTGAAAAACTCACCAGTCCTTAACGATTACAAGCATACCCATAACATGATGCAGCCACCACTATGCTTGAAAATGTGGAGAGTGGTACTCAGTAATGTGTTGTATTGGATTTGCCCCAAACATAACATTACCTTGTTGCAAACAAGATGCATGTTCTGGAATAATTTTTTTCCTTTACAGGCTTCCTTCTTTTCACTCTGTCAATTAGTTTAGTATTGTGGAGTAACTGCAATGTTGTTGATCCATCCTCCGTTTTCTCATATCACAGCCATTAAACTCTGTAACTGTTTTAAAAAGTCACCATTGGCCTCATGGTGAAATCCCTGAGCGGTTTCCTTCCTCTCCAGCAACTGAGTTAGGAAGTACGCTTGTATCTTTGTAGCTACTGGGTGTATTGATACACCATCCAAAGTGTCATTAATAACTTCACCATGCTCAAAGGAATATTAAATGTCGACTTTTTTAATTTTTACCCATCTACCAATAGGTGCCCTTCTTTGTGAGGCATTGGAAAACCTCCCTGGTCTTAGTGGTTGAATCTGTGTTTGAAATTCACTGCTCGACTGAGGGACCTTACAGATAATTGTATGTGTGGGGTACAGAGATGAGGTAGTCTTTCAAAAATCATGTTAAACACTATTATTGCACACAGAGTGAGTCCATGCAACTTATCTTGGTAAGCACATTTTTACTCCTGAACTTATTAAGGCTTGCCATAACAAAGGGGTTGAATAATTATTGACTCAAGACATTTCAGCTTTTTATTTGTAAATAATTTGTCAAACATTTGAAAAACATAATTCCACTTTGATATTATGGGGTATTGTGTGTATTCCAGTGATCAAAAAAATCTACATTTAATAAAATGTAATACATTTGAATTTCAGGATCTAACAACAAAATGTGGAAAAAGGCAAGGGGTGTGAATACTTTCTGAAGGCACTGTATGTTAACCCACAGCGTTTCGCTACACCCGCAATAACATCTGCTAAATATGTGTATGTGACCAATAAAAATTGATTTGAAAAATTGATTTGATCGAATTTGATTTACAGTATATCATCTCTACTCACTCATCCTTTCCTCTCTCCTTATCTTGCCCTCCGTCAGGTACAGATACACTGCATCTCTCTTTCTCTCCTTTTTTAATATATTTTTTTACTTAAAACTAGCTTAGGAACAATTGTCTACTGTCACTGACTGGCCCATGAATGTCCTCTGATCTTTGACCCCAGGGTTGGTGAGCTGGTGACCCACATCCGTATCCAAAACACAGGGGACTTCTACGACCTGTATGGAGGGGAGAAGTTTGCCACGCTGTCCGAGCTGGTGGAGTACTACACTGCAGAGAACGGGATCCTGCAGGACAAAGATGGCACCATCATCGAGCTCAAATACCCCCTCAACTGCTCCGACCCCACCACCGAGAGGTCAGTGCACTCTCATCTCTAACCTTTAACCTTTACCCCTAAACCTTAATACCACCAGAGTCAGTCAGTCAAGTCTGTGTACTCTTCTCTCAAACCGCTAACCCCTAACTTTACCATTCAGAGGCCTGTGCTCTTCTTTCAAACTGCATGTCTATCAAACTGAAGCAGATCATATCAAATGCTCCTGAGACATTTAACATCCAGGCATTTTGCAATTAATAATTTGCAAAATATTTATGTTGAGGATCACAAGGCTTTCAGAAGGAAAGGTACTTCTTTGGCCTTTACTTTGAGGCGTGTGCGTGCATGTGTGTGTGTAAATCCCTCATGTTCTGCCCTCACTGCCCCTCCTTTCCCCGCTCTCTTTTCTCGCTCTCCCTCTGTCAGTTTGACTTCCCTTTCTTGCTGCGGTTGGAAACTTTAGGTTTTGACACATTTGAAAACAGTGACCAGACCCACCTCACCTTCCTCTCCTAACCTCCATCTCAGTCTTGCTCTGTTTCAGTCTTTCTGATCTCTTTCTCGATACCCATCTTTATGCCTCTGTAACTTTCTCACTCATCATTATTCACAATTAATTCATGATTATCTGTAATCATAGTAGGATCCACATTAATGTAGAAGTGTTTAGAAACATCTTATATTCTTATTTACAATAAAAGTGACTCCAAAAAGACAAAATACATTATTTACCAAGGAGGATAACTGAAGTAGTATTTCATACAAGTGGAGGACACCCCCAACATAGCAGTATTCGTATCTGGGTTAGAGTTTTAGTACATTCTACAGAGATTTTGTGAATGTACAGTTATTCATACTGTGATAAATTGTCTGGTCAACAGATTCATCCAGGGCCAAGAGCATGACAGAACATAGTGTTAAAAAGGGGAGGGGGGGGGGGGGGGGGGGGGGGGGGGGGGGGGGGGTGATATGGGGGGGGGTTTGTCTGAGGCTCAGGCTATAAATATCCTGTTGTCTTGAGCCACGAAATCTTGTCATCAGAATTTTCCGACCGCAAAGCAGGATGTTCAGATGAAGAAATCGAGAACTGTGCCTAAATTTAAACAGCAGGCAGCACTCAGAGACGATCCCCATACTAACAGTGTAAACTCTCCCAGACATGCACGCAAACACACATTCACACACACTATACTCACAGGACAAAAATACTTGCATAAACCCACATACAGTGCATTTGTACAGGCTGTAAATACACATTAGTAACCAAAATGTCCTCAACCATTTATTAAAGTCCTCTACCACTTTGCAACACAGTTACAGTACATTACATTTACGCTCGCTTTCACGGTCTGTCCGGTAGCACTGAACAGGCTGCACACCGTACTTTTACAGTATAGTACTATACAGACCTGTTCTAACACACCGGCTTCTGCTTTATGTGCTGCTTATCATAACTATGATTAGCTGAATCATATGTGTTAGAGCAGGGCTGGAGCAAAAGCCTGTACACAGAGCAGCTCTCCAGGAGGAGGGTTGTCCAACCCTGGTGTAGGGCATAGTGATGTCTCCATTAGAGCTTCATTGACCCCTTCTCTATCATACACCATACAGGTGGTATCACGGACACCTGTCAGGCCCCAACGCAGAGAAGTTGCTATGGGAACGGGATGAGCCAGGCACCTTCCTGGTGCGTGAGTCTCTGTCCAAACCTGGAGACTTTGTTCTGTCTGTTCTGACTGAGGAGAAGAGCAAGGCATCCAGCGGAGGGAGGAGGGTCTCACACATCAAGATCATGTGCCAGGTGTGTGTGTATATGTGTGTTTGTGTGTGTGTGTGCGTACGTGCATGAGTGTGTGCAAGCGTGTGAGAATGTTTGTGTGTTTTTCTCTCTCTAACTCACATTCACTCACATTCACTATTATAATTCACATTGCAATCTTTTCTATAGTTTTTCCCATATCTGAGTACATCTTATGAAACCAGACCAATTTTCAGTTTCTCCTAAATGTTCATTCTTATGCAATGAGTGACCTTCCTGCTTCCAACATCTATGAGAAAACCTGACAAACTTCAAACACACCACCACTACTGTCTCAGCACAGAAACAGTTATGCAAAGTCAAGTCAATATGAACATGGAGGTTTGAGGTTGATAGATGTCACTGACGACATCCTGGTTACAAAACGTTTACTTTTGCCAAGCGGTTATGTTTTAATTAGTTAGTTACGTATTTCATTTAGACCCTTAGGTGATGTGTGAAAATTCATATACGATTCCAATAAAACACATGAGAATTGGTATTCACATATATTAATGTGTGTACAGTAACTACCACTAGAAATAAAAATAGCATAGTAATTTCAGAGTTCAGAGCTAGACTAACTTACTGCATTCATCCCCAAACCTCATTTTCATAGATTAAACGTTGTCAGCAGCACCATCAGGATTAGTTTTGTTTTAGCTGTGGTTCATCTCATTGCAGACATGAGACAGATTTGAATGAGAGGCATTGTAGGGCTGGAGTCTGGAGAATTCAGAGTCAGAAGATTATCACGGAGGTCATTGAGTCCTGGCACAGGCCCTACCAGGAGCAAGCATCAGGTGCATTTCCTGATAGCTAATAGGAAGTACATTAAATATATTTTAAAGGTACTTTTGTATACTTTTTGGCCAAAAGTGGTCCCCGAAAATTGCGTACTATGTCACAAATGGGCAGATATGTGCACCATGTCATTGCTCTCTCTCTCTCTACTGTGTGTGCGTCTTGCTAGCTGTCACTCAAATGGCGAGGGGCTGAAGCTCATGGACTGAAACTCAAATTGCTAGGGGGCTTGCCTACGTGGGGGTAAATGTAGGGGAAAATGGCACAGCACAGCTTCCAGAAAACAGTCTCTTTCAAACTAGAGATTTCATGGCTAACTGAGGTAAAACTGCAATTTTGCTCATAGATTATGCATGTATGAACTACAGATTGACACATTCAGCCCAAAGCGGGAGGTTTAAAAAATACTTACTAGTCGCCAAAGTACCGACGCATGCCTTTAAAATACATGAAGTAAACTGGCTGTCATTTCTAAATGAAGTCTGGTGAGTCGGCCATCCAGCTGTATGATTAGATCAGATTAGATAACATTTATTTCCCTCATGTGGAAATTTGTTTTCACAGCTTCATCAGCATACAGCTTACTGAAAAGAGGTCAAATGTGCTAAACATAACGAAAGAACCAAAACCACAGTTACCTAAATAACATTATTAATGTGTATTATTGACCGTTTCTATATTCTATATCGTTCCGTGTGTGTGTGTGTGTGTGTATATATATATTTACACAGTCCCAGTCAAACATTTGGACACACCTACTCATTCAAGGGTTTTTCTTTATTTTTACTATTTTCTACATTGTAGAATAATAGTGAAGACATCAAAACTATGAAATAACACATATGGAATCATGTAGTAACAGAAAAAGGTGTTAAACAAATCAAAATATATTTTATATTTGAGATTCTTCAAAATAGACACCCTTTGCCTTGATGACAGGTTTGCACACTCTTGGCATTCTCTCAAACAGCTTCATGAGACAGTCACCTGGAATGCATTTCAATTAACAGGTGTGCCTTCTTAAAAGTTTATTTGTGGAATTTCTTTCCTTCTTAATGCGTTTGAGCCAATCAGTTGTGTTGTTACAAGGTAGGGGTGGTATACAGAAGATAGCCCTATTTGGTAAAAGACCAAGTCCATATTATGGGAAGATCAGATCAAATAAGCAAAGAGAAATGACAGTCCATCATTACCTTAAGATATGAAGGTCAGCCAATACGGAACATTTCAAGAACTTTGAAAGTTTCTTCAAGTGCAGTCGCAAAAAACATCAAGCGACATGATGAAACTGGCTCTCAGGAATGGAAGACCCAGAGTTACCTCTGCTGCAGAGGATAAGTTCATTAGAGTTACCAGCCTCAGAAATTGCAGCCCATATAAATGCTTCACAGAGTTCAAGTAACAGACACATATGAACATCAACTGTTCTGAGGGGACTGTGTGAATCAGGCCTTCATGGTCAAATTGCTGCAAAGAACATAGTAAAAATAAAGAAAAACCCTGGAATGAGTAGGTGTGTCCAAACCTTTGACTGGTACTAATATATATACAGTGGGGAGAACAAGTATTTGATACACTGCCGATGTTGCAGGTTTTCCTACTTACAAAGCATGTAGAGGTCTGTAATTTTTATCATAGGTACACTTCAACTGTGAGAGACGGAATCTAAAACAAAAATCCAGAAAATCACATTGTATGATATTTAAGTAATTAATTTGCATTTTATTGCATGACATAAGTATTTGATCACCTACCAACCAGTAAGAATTCCGGCTCTCACAGACCTGTTAGTTTTTCTTTAAGAAGCCCTCCTGTTCTCCACTCATTACCTGTATTAACTGCACCTGTTTGAACTTGTTACCTGTATAAAAGACACCTGTCCACACACTCAATCAAACAGACTCCAACCTCTCCACAATGGCCAAGACCAGAGAGCTGTGTAAGGACATCAGGGATAAAATTGTAGACCTGCACAAGGCTGGGATGGGCTACAGGACAATAGGCAAGCAGCTTGGTGAGAAGGCAACAACTGTTGGCGCAATTATTAGAAAATGGAAGAAGTTCAAGATGACGGTCAATCACCCTCGGTCTTGGGCTCCGTGCAAGATCTCACCTCGTGGGGCATCAATGATCATGAGGAAGGTGAGGGATCAGCCCAGAACTACACGGCAGGACCTGGTCAATGACCTGAAGAGAGCTGGGACCACAGTCTCAAAGAAAACCATTAGTAACACACTACGCCGTCATGGATTAAATTATCCTGCAGCGCACGCAAGGTCCCCCTGCTCAGGCCAGAGCATGTCCAGGCCCGTCTGAAGTTTGCCAATGACCATCTGGATGATCCAGAGGAGGAATGGGAGAAGGTCATGTGGTCTGATGAGACAAAAATATAGCTTTTTGGTCTAAACTCCACTCGCCGTATATGGAGGAAGAAGAAGGATGAGTACAACCCCAAGAACACCATCCCAACCGTGAAGCATGGAGGTGGAAACATCATTCTTTGGGGATGCTTTTCTGCAAAGGGGACAGGACGACTGCACCGTATTGAGGGGAGGATGGATGGGGCCATGTACCGCGAGATCTTGGCCAACAACCTCCTTCCCTCAGTACGAGCATTGAAGATGGGTCGTGGCTGGGTCTTCCAGCATGACAATGACCCGAAACACACAGCCAGGGCAACTAAGGAGTGGCTCCGTAAGAAGCATCTCAAGGTCCTGGAGTCTCCAGACCTGAACCCAATAGAACATCTTTGGAGGGAGCTGAAAGTCCGTATTGCCCAGCGACAGCCCCGAAAACTGAAGGATCTGGAGAAGGTCTGTATGGAGGAGTGGGCCAAAATCCCTGCTGCAGTGTGTGCAAACTTGGTCAAGACCTACAGGAAACGTATGATCTCTGTAATTGCAAACAAAGGTTTCTGTACCAAATATTAAGTTCTGCTTTTCTGATGTATCAAATACTTATGTCATGCAATAAAATGCAAATTAATTACTTAAAAATCATACAATGTGATTTTCCGGATTTTTGTTTTAGATTCCGTCTCTCACAGTTGAAGTGTACCTATGATAAAAATTACAGACCTCTACATGCTTTGTAAGTAGGAAAACCTGCAAAATCGGCAGTGTATCAAATACTTGTTCTCCCCACTGTGTGTGTGTGTGTGTATATATATATATATACACACACACATTCGGAAAGTATTCAGACCCGTTGACTTTTTCCACATTTTGTTACGTGACAGCCTTATTCTAAAATGCATTAAATTGTTTTTCCCCCCTAATCAATCTACACACAATACCCCATAATGACAAAGCAAAAACAGGTTTTTAGAAATTGTAGCTAATTTATAAAAATTAAAAAATACAGAACTATCACATTTAATTAAGTATTCAGACCCTTTACTCAGTACTTTGTTGAAGCACCTTTGGCAGTGATTAAAGCCTTGAGTCTTCTTGGGTATGACGCTACAAGCTTGGCACAACTGTATTTGGGGAGTTTCTCCCATTCTTCTCTGCAGATCCTCTCAAGCTCTGTCAGGTTGGATGGGGAGCGTTACTGCACAGCTATGTTCAGATGTCTCCAGAGATGTTCGATCGGGTTCAAGTCCAGGCTCTAGCTGGGCCACTCAAGGACATCCAGAGACTTGTCCTGAAGCCACTCCTGCGTTGTCTTGGCTGTGTGCTTAGGGTGGTTGTCCTGTTGGAAGGTGAACCTTCGCCCCAGTCTGAGGTCCTGAGCACTCTGGAGCAGGTTTTCATCAAGGATCTCTCTGTACTTTGCTCTGTTCATCTTTCCCTCGATCCTGACTAGTCTCCCAGTCCCTGCCACTGAAAAACATACCCACAGCATGATGCTGCCACCACCATGCTTCACCGTAGGGATGGTGCCAGGTTTCCTCCAGACGTGACGCTTGGCACTGAGGCCAAAGAGTTCAATCTTGGTTTCATCAGACCAGAGAATCTTGTTTGTAATGGTCTGAGAGTCTTTAGGTGCCTTTTGGCAAACTCCAAGCGGGCTGTCATGTGGCTTTTACTGAGGAGTGGCTTCCGTCTGGCCACTCTACCATAAAGGCCTGATTGGTGGAGTGCTGCAGAGATGGTTGTCCTTCTGGAAGGTTCTCACATCTCCACAGAGGAACTCTAGAGATCTGTCAGAGTGACCAAAGAGTTCTTGGTCACCTCCCTGACCAAGGCCTTTCTCTACTGATTGCTCAGTTTGGCCAGGCGGCCAGTTTTAGGAAGAGTCTTGGTGGTTCCAAACTTCTTCCATTTAAGAATGATGGAGGCCACTGTGTTCTTGGGGACCTTCAATGCTGCAGACATTTTTTGGTACCCTTCCCCAGATCTGTGCCTCGACACAATCCTGTCTCGGAGCTCTACGGACAATTCCTTCGACCTCATGTCTTGGTTTTTGCTCTGACATACACTGTCAACTGTGGGACCTTATATAGACAGGTGTGTGCCTTTCCAAATCATGTTCAATCAATTGAATTTACCAAAGGTGGACTCCAATCAAGTTGTATAAACATATCAAGGATGATCAATGGAAACAGGATCCACCTGAGCTCAATTTCGAGTCTCATAGCAAAGGGTCTGAATAATTATGTAAATAAGTTATTTCTGTTTTTGTTTTTTTCTAAAAACCTGTTTTCGCTTTGTCATTATGGGGTATTGTGTGTAGATTGCTGAGAATGTTTGTGGAAAAAGTCAAGGGGTCTGAATACTTTCCGAAGGCACTGTATATATATATATACAGTGCCGTGAAAAGGTATTTGCCCACTTTCTGATTCTCTATTTTTTACATATTTTTGATACTGAATGCTATCAGATATTCAACCAAAACCTAATATTAGATAGTTTACAAATAACAAAACAAATTGATACTTACTGTATTTATTTAATTGACAAAGTTATGCAACACCCAATTCCTCTGTGTAAAAATTTAATTGCCCCCTTACACTAACTGGTTGTGCCACCGTTAGCTGCAATGACAGCAACCAAATGCTACCTGTGGTTGTTGATCAGTCTCTCACGTCGCTGTGGAGGAAATTTGGCCCACTCTTGCATGCAGAACTACTTTAACTCAACAACATTTGTGGGTTTTCAAGCATGAACTGCCACAACATCCCAATTGAGATTAGGTCTGGACTTTGACTAGGCCATTCCAAAACTTCAAATGTGTTGCTTTTTAGCCATTTTCATGACTTGATTGTTTGTTTTGGATCATTGTCTTGCTGCATGACCCAGCTGCGCTTCAGCTTCAGCTCACAGACGGATGGCCTGACATTCTCCAGTAGAATTATCAGATACAGAGCAGAATATTTATGGTTCCTTCTATTAAGGCAAGTCGTCCAGGTCCTAAGGCAGCAAAGCATCCCCAAACCATCACACTACCACCACCATGCTTGACTGTTGGTATAAGGTTCTTACTGTGGAATGCAGGGTTTGGTTTTCACCAGGCATAATGGGACCCATGTCGTCATATATTTATATAAATAGAATGACCGGTACACGGTGGGAGGCAAGGAGATGTTTGACACCCTGGCTGACCTGGTGGAGCACTACAAACGCAAAGGCATCGAGGAGATGTCTGGAACCTGGGTGCACCTCAAACAGGTAAAGACTTAGGACGCCATACAGTCAAGTTACAACCTTACACAGGTTGGAGATACTGTATCTTATAATGGGTTAAAGATCACCTGAATGACAAGATAGAGCCATATCTGAACAAATCTTGACTTCTCCTCTCTTTCCTGTCCACTCCATCCTTCTCTCCTTCAGCCCTACTTCTCCACCAGAGTGAATGCAGCAGACATTGACAGCAGAGTGAGGCTGCTGGACCAGACGGCGGAGAGAGAGAACGAGGGAGACAAGAAGAGCAAAGCAGGATTCTGGGAGGAGTTTGATGTAAGTCGATTAAGTTTTTGATGGAGGGAAGATGTGATGGTTTGAACAACCCTTCTTCACCTCTTCCTCTCTTTACTCAACCTGGTCTCAGAGCATTTCATGTTATTATGTATGTCAATTTGAGACACTTCATTTAGTATGATATGTTACGTTTCTTATGGTATGTATTAATTTGTAGATGTCCATCACCCATTTTATATGATATGTTATGAATTACAATTCTTATTATATGTTACGGCTTTGCAAAAAACGTACAATATGTTACGAATTTTCAAAAAGGACAAATTCTAGCTAGGGATTAGGGTTAAGGTTAGGGGAAGGGTTAGCTAAAAGGGTTAAGGTTAGGGGAAGGGTTCGCTAACATGCTAAGTAGTTGCAAAGTAGCTAAAAAGTAGTAAGTAGTTGAAAAGTTTCTAAAATGCTAAAGTTGCCCTTGATGAGATTCAAACTTGTAACCTTTGGGTTGCTAGACGTTCGCGTTATACACCCACGCATCCACCCCGACTAACCACCTTACTTTCGTTTTAGCTTAAGTAACCATCTATCTTATGTAACCATACCAAACATAACATATCATTCTAATTCGAGTGTTACGGATTTGTTTACTATGTTACGTCTAGTCTATGAGACCCGGCTGCTTTTCTCTACTGTAGGTTTTCTGAGGCCTAATTTCTAACGCGCTCCCCGGACAGCACTAGCGATCGCACAAGTTGATTTTGTCCTCCCACACCAGACATGATCAGGAACACGCAGGTTGAAATATCAAAACAAACTCTTAACCAATTATATTAATTTCGGGACAGGTCAAAAAGCATTCAACATTTATGGGAATTTAGCTAGCTAGCTTGCGGTTGCTAGCTAATTTGTCATGGGATATAAACATTGGGTTGTTATTTTACCTGAAATGCACAAGGTCCTCTACTCCGACAATTAATACACAGATAAACCGGTAAACGTTTGTTTTCTAGTAATCTCTCCTCCTTCAGGCTTCTTCTTCTTCTTTGGACTTTATATGGCGGTTGTCAACCAACTTTATGGTGCATTACCACAACCAACTGGACTGGAGAGTGGACCTCAGTTCATCTTTCAATCACCCATGTGGGTAGATGCTCCTAAAAACCAATGAGGAGATGGGAGAGGCAGGATTTGCAGCACGTTAAGTATCACCAATAGAACCGAGTTCTATTTTAGCGCCTGGCCACGTAGACGCTCGTTGACGTGCGCGAGCAGTGTGGGTGCAACGATTGAATAACATGTATGTGTACATTTATTTTGCCACGCTCGCGCACAAGACGCGTAAGGTGTGGTCACCGCTGACCTTACGTGCGCGAGCGTTGCAAAAAAAATGCGTGTGCGGTCTGGGTAGCAAGTTAGAAATTAGTCCTCAGAAAAAATCAACACGCGTGCGATGGTGCACGCGCGCGCAGGGTGTAGTCACCAAGTGTGTCTGTGTTTGATGCTTTAGTTGGTCATATAAACTGTGTATGTAATGTGCCTTTACTCTTGTGCAATATGGTGAAACATTTTGAAACATGTTCCGTTGGACAAGTCAAAGCGAGAGTGTTGCAAGGAAAAACTATAATCAAATGGTTAAACGTCTCACTACTACAGCCATAGGAAGTAGACTGCAACAACCATAGACTACTTTTTTACTACCACCATGTGGTAGCATGTGGTACGGCTATTTGAGGCCTTTGTCCCAATTCTCTAATCTCAGAAACCCACAACTATAACCTTGCGTAATTGCGTCAGATGCTACATAGTCTGGTCACGAGAGATTAGATATTGTCTAACACTAATTCCAAACTGCTTTAACAGTACATAAAAAATAACTTTTCAAATGGTAAAAAAAATATGGGTAACGAATTTACATTAACTGTATGTTCATTAAGCATACATAACACATCCATGATCATATAATAAACATGACATATTTATAGAGCATTCATTAATGTATTCATAGTAATTTAGTATGTCAGTATTCCACAAATACTGGAAATGGGGTTTCCATGTCTTTAAACATTAACTCATTCTCCTGAAGGTATTGCTGAAAAGAGTTTGAGTTGTCACAACTGGGTTGGGTGACTTTATGTTTGGGATTTTTACAGTCAACCCCTTCCCTCAAGTCTGTGAGGTTAGGCCAGGGGTTAGGTTACACTGGTCCTGGTGTGCACATGCAGGCTTTTGTTCTAGCCCTGTGAAATAGTAAACACTGGATGTATGTGTAACCCCAATCCTGTAGACCAATTAGAGTTCACCTGAGCTGACACAGGCTAACAGGCAGGATGAGAGGGGCTGATGCTGCTGATTAGGAACCTCACTGAAAGTCTCCTCATAACCAGGGGACTGGATTAGCACTAGCAGCAGCTCCCACCAGGGGTCAGGGGTCAGGACAGGTTGTAAGGCGCTACAGTATAGCTGGACTAGCTATAAGCAGTACGTCTATCCCCTAATGTGTACATTGAGATGAACACAAGATATACAGTGCATTCGAAAAGTATTCAGACCCCTTGACTTTTTCCACATTTTGTTACATTACAGCCTTATTCTAAAATGGATTAAATTCATTTTTTTCCCTCAACAAAGCGAAACAGGTTTTTAGAAATGTTTGCTAATTTATAAAAAATAAAAAACAGAAATACCTTATTTACATAAACTACCGTTCAAAAGATTGGGGTCACTTAGAAATGTCCTTGTTTCGAAAGAAAAGCATTTTTTTGTCCATTAAAATAACATAAAATTGTTCAGAAATACAGTGTAGACATTGTTAAGGTTGTAAATGGCTACTGTAGCTGGAAACGGCTGATTTTTTATGGAATATCTACAAAGGCATACAGAGGCCCATTATCAGCAACCGTCAGTCCTGTGTTCCAATGGCACGTTGTGTTTGCTAATCTAAGTTTATAATTTTAAAAGGCTAATTGATAATTAGAAAACCCTTTTGCAATTATGTTAGCACAGCTGAAAACTGTTGTGCTGATTAAAGAAGCAATAAAACGGGCCTTCTTGAGACTAGTTGAGTACAGTGAGGGAAAAAAGTATTTGATCCCCTGCTGATTTTGTACGTTTGCCCACTGACAAAGACATGATCAGTCTATAATTTTAATGGTAGGTTTATTTGAACAGTGAGAGACAGAATAACAACAACAAAAATCCAGAAAAACACATGTCAAAAATTTTATAAATTGATTTGCATTTTAATGAGGGAAATAAGTATTTGACACCTCTGCAAAACATGACTTAGTACTTGGTGGCAAAACCCTTGTTGGCAATCACAGAGGTCAGACGTTTCTTGTAGTTGACCACCAGGTTTGCACACATCTCAGGAGGGATTTTGTCCCACGCCTCTTTGCAGATATTCTCCAAGTCATTAAGGTTTCGAGCCTGACGTTTGGCAACTCAAACCTTCAGCTCCCTCCACAGATTCTCTATGGGATTAAGGTCTGGAGACTGGCTAGGCCACTCCAGGACCTTAATGTGCTTCTTCTTGAGTCACTCCTTTGTTGCCATGGCCGTGTGTTTTGGGTCATTGTCATGCTGGAATACCCATCTACGACCCATTTTCAATGCCCTGGCTGAGGGAAGGAGGTTCTCACCCAAGATTTGACGGTACATGACGCCGTCCATCGTCCCTTTGAGGCGGTGAAGTTGTCCTGTCCCCTTAGCAGAAAAACACCCCCAAAGCATAATGTTTCCACCACCATGTTTGACGGTGGGGATGGTGTTCTTGGGGTCATAGGCAGCATTCCTCCTCCTCCAAACACGGCGAGTTCAGTTGATGCCAAAGAGCTCGATTTTGGTCTCATCTGACTACAACACTTTCACCCAGTTCTCCTCTGAATCATTCAGATGTTCATTGGCAAACTTCAGACGGGCCTGTGTATGTGCTTTCTTGAGCAGGGGGACCTTGTGGGCGCTGCAGGATTTCAGTCCTTCACGGCGTAGTGTGTTACCAATTGTTTTCTTGGTGACTATAGTCCCAGCTGCCTTGAGATCATTGACAAGATCCTCCCGTGTAGTTCTGGGCTGATTCCTCACCGTTCTCATGATCATTGCAACTCCATGAGGTGAGATCTTGCATGGAGCCCCAGGCTGAGGGAGATTGACAGTTATTTTGTGTTTCTTCGTTTGCGAATAATTGCAACTGTTGTCACCTTCTCACCAAGCTGCTTGGCGATGGTCTTGTAGCCCATTCCAGCCTTGTGTAGGTCTACAATCTTGTCCCTGACATCCTTGGAGAGCTCTTTGGTCTTGGCCATGGTGGAGAGTTTGGAATCTGATTGATTGATTGCTTCTGTGGACAGGTGTCTTTTATACAGGTAACAAGCTGAGATTAGGAGCACTCCATTTAAGAGTGTGCTCCTAATCTCAGCTCGTTACCTGTATAAAAGACACCTGGGAGCCAGAAATCTTTCTGATTGAGAGGGGGTCAAATACTTATTTCCCTCATTAAAATGCAAATCAATTTATAACATTTTTGACATGCGTTTTTCTGGATTTTTTTGTTGTTATTCTGTCTCTCACTGTTCAAATAAACCTACCATTAAATTATAGACTGATCATGTCTTTGTCAGTGGGCAAACGTACAAAATCAGCAGGGGATCAAATACTTTACCCCTCACTGTAATCAGTCAGGATTACTTCAAGCTCCCATCATGTAGTCAGGATTACTCTCAAGCTCCCATCCTGTAGTCAGGATTACTCTCAAGCTCCCATCCTGTAGTCAGAATAACTCTCAAGCTCCCATTCTGTAGTCAGGATTACTCTCAAGCTCCTATCCTGTAGTCAGGATTACTCTCAAGCTCCTATCCTGTAGTCAGGATTACTCTCAAGCTCCTATCATGTAGTCAGAATAACTCTCAAGCTCCCATTCTGTAGTCAGGATTTCTCTCAAGCTCCTATCCTGTAGTCAGGATTACTCTCAAACTCCCATCCTGTGCTCATCACTCTCACTTTGATGACCTGAAATGGCTCAAGGTGAAAACACCTGAGAGTCACGCCAATCAAGATGGGGCTTATCCACTAAACTGTGTAGCCCTGTCCCCAGATACCTACTGTAATTATTTAAGGCGCATTAGACACGCTCTAGTACTCCACCAGAGGGAGCTCTACCGACTTTTTTCCCTGTAGATTCAAGAGCTCCATGGGGAAAAACTCTTTCCTCTAGTCCAGTGTTTCCCAAACTGTGGGTTCGGCAGGGGATTTTTGTAAACAATTTTTTAAAGGAACTCAGTCCGGCTTTAAACGTACTCTTGAAAGTTGTAGTAGTAGAATGCACAAGGTGCAATTTCGAAATTGAATAGCGCATCAACAGTTCCTCTTGTCATGTTAGTCATTGCATACCTTAGCTAGCTATTTATAACTTATCAGAAATGTCCAGATCAACTAGCCCATGTCAGCTAATGTTTTTTTATTTAGGTTTTTTAGCCCATAGATATTGTTGTAATTTTTTTTGTCACTCAAATATCACATGAATACACAGCAGACATGGCAAAATGTATAGAATTGCAAGAAAATGTGCTTTAAAACTGCTACATTTTCTTTGCACCACATGACAAAATGTGTAGAATTGCAGGAAGTAAGCTTTAAACCTGCAAAATTCTCTCCACCAACAAGATAGGTTTGAACAGTTTGTGTCATGAACAGTGCTTGTGCCCATAGAAATAGACGTGGTGTGCGCGCACAGGGGGGACCTGGGATGTTCCCCAATGCTGGAAGGCCCAGAGTGAAAACATTTGGGAACCCCTGCTCTAGTCTGTGGCAGTACTGTGGAACAAGGGAAACATTTGTCATTAGAGATTAGCTTTAAGGTGTCACTTAAAAATGGTTGAGAAATGGCTGTTTGATTGAGGGTATTTTTCTTTCCAAGAAGTGCCCCGTTTAAAGGCCCCTCTATACTGTTGGTTAAGTTATTGAATGCTGTTGGTGTTTTTAAAAATTGCATTGAGCTTACAGTGTCTATCTTTCTCTCTCTCTCTCTCCTTCTCTCTCTTTCTTGTTCTTTCCAGGCCCTTCAAAAGCAGGAGTCGAAGGTGAAGAAAAGCAGAGAAGAAGGGATGAGACCAGAAAACAAAAGCAAAAACCGATATAAGAATATCCTTCCCTGTAAGATCATCTCCTTCTAAAGTGCAATGATATATCGTTATCTTTTTACCCATTTTCTTTCAATTTTCTCTTCCATTTATATTCTCTCTGTCTGATACATCTCCCCCATCTCTCTCTCTCTCTCTCTCTCTCTCTCTCTCTCTCTCTCTCTCTCTCTCTCTCTCTCTCTCTCTCTCTCTCTCTCTCTCTCTCTCTCTCATCATTCCATCTCTACACTCATCCTATTATCCTCCCAGTTGATGAGACCAGGGTCATTCTGTTATCTGGAGACCCCAATATCATTGGCTCAGATTACATCAATGGCAATTATCTGACAGTAAGTACATGTTATGTCACCGTGTAGTCTCAACATCACACTCCAAATGATAAACCATTGTTATGAATCCATAATAAGTCTAAACATGAATATGTTTGAATTAATATGATCAAAGACTATAATTGCAATGGGCTTTGTATCCATGTACAGTCGTGGTCAAAAGTCTTGAGAATGTATTGGTCTTGTATTGGTCTTGACACAAGTATTGGTCTTCACAAAGTTTGCTGCTTCAGTGTTTTTAGATATTTTTGTCAGATGTTACTATGGTATACTGATGTATAATTACAAGCATTCCATAAGTGTCAAAGGCTTTTATGGACAATTACATTAAGTTTATGCAAAGAGTCCATATTTGCAGGGTTGACCCTTCTTTTTCAAGACCTCTGCAATCCGCCCTGGCATGCTGTCAATTAACTTCTGGGCCACATCCTGACTGATGGCAGCCCATTCTTGGATAATCAATGCTTGGAGTTTGTCAGAATTTGTGGGGTTTTGTTTGTCCACCCGCCTCTTGAGGATTGACCACAAGTTCTCAATGGTATTAGGGTCTGGGGAGTTTCCTGGCCATGGACCCAAAAATGTCAATGTTTTGTTCCCCGAGCCACTTAGTTATCACTTTTGCCTTATGGCAAGGTGCTCCATCATGCTGGAAAAGGCATTGTTCGTCACCAAACTGTTCTTGGGTGGTTGGGAGAAGTTGCTCTCTGAGGATGTGTTGGTACCATTCTTTATTCATGGCTGTGTTCTTAGGCAAAATTGTGAGTGAGCCCACTCCCTTGGCTGAGAAGCAACCCCACACATGAATGGTCTCAGGATGCTTTACTGTTGGCATGACACAGGACTGATGGTAGCGCTCACCTTGTCTTCTCCGGACAAGTTGTTTTCCAGATGCCCCAAACAATCGGAAAGGGGATTGATCAGAGAAAATGACTTTACCCCAGTCCTCAGCAGTCCAATCCCTGTACCTTTTGCAGAATATCAGTCTGTCCCTGATATTTTTCCTGGAGAGAAGTGTCTTCTTTGCTGCCCTTCTTGACACCAGGCCATCCTCCAAAAGTCTTCGTCTCACTGTGCGTGCAGATGCACTCACACCTGCCTGCTGCCATTCCTGAGCAAGCTCTGCACTGGTGGTGCCCCGATCCCGCAGCTGAATCAACTTTAGGAGACGGTCCTGGCGATTGCTGGACTTTCTTGGGCGCCCTGAAGCCTTCTTCACAACAATTGAACCTCTCTCCTTGAAGTTCTTGTTGATCCGATAAATGGTTGATTTAGGTGCAATCTTACTAGCAGCAATATCCTTGCCTGTGAAGCCCTTTTTGTGCAAAGCAATGATTACAGCACGTGTTTCCTTGCAGGTAATCATGGTTAACAGAGGAAGAACAATGATTTCAAGCATCACCCTCCTTTTAAAGCTCCCAGTCTGTTGTTCTAACTCAATCAGCATGACAGAGTGATCTCCAGCCTTGTTCTCGTCAACACTCTCACCTGTGCTAACGAGAGAATCACTGACATGATGTCAGCTGGTCCTTTTGTGGCAGGGCTGAAATGCAGTGGAAATGTTTTTGGGGGATTAAGTTCATTTTCATGGAAAAGAGGGACTTTGCAATTAATTGCAATTAATCTGATCACTCTTCATAACATTCTGGAGTATATGCAAATTGCCATCATAACAACTGAGGCAGCAGACTTTGTGAAAATTAATATTTGTGTCATTCTCAAAACTCTTGACCACGACTGTAGACAATATTTGACATATTTTACTAATTTTCTCCATCTCTTTGTAGAATAAGCTGCAGGAGCCTTGTGACCAGAAGGTGTACATTGCCTGTCAGGGCTGCCTTGCAACAACTGTCAACGATTTCTGGCAGATGGTGTGGCAGGAGAACACAAGGGTCATTGTCATGACAACCAGGGAGGTCGAGAAGGGACGGGTTAGTGACTTAAGAGTGTTTTCTGAAAATTCAAAAGCATTTTCTTTTACATTGTATGATTTCAATATTATAACAAATAGTATAAACTTCCCATCTAATTTTCCTCAAACAATTTCTCCATGTTTTTCGATGCAGAATAAATGTGTGCCATACTGGCCAGAAATGCAGGACTTCAAAGACGTGGGGCCGTATGTGGTCACCAATGTGTCTGAGAGAGATGCCACTGACTACAAGATCAGGATAATGGAGATCTCCCCTCTGGACCAGGTAGGTACCACCGGCTGGCTCCACCCATCATCTCGACTCTTACCTCTGTCATCACTGTCAATACTGTCATCACTGTTACCTCTGTCATCACTGTTACCTCTGTCATCTCTGTCATTGCTGTTAACACTGTTACCTCTGTCATCACAATTCATCACTACCATCATTGTCATAACTGTTAACAATGTTATCTCTGTAATCTCTAATACTGTTTCACTGTTATCGCTATCATCACCATCAGTGTATCACTGTTACCCTTATCATCACTGTCGTCTCTGTCATTACTGTTACCTCTGTCATCACTGTTACCTCTGTCATAACTGTTACCTCTGTCACCACTGTCATCACTACCATCTTTGTCATAACTGTTAACAATGTTATCTCTGTCATCTCTAATACTGTTTCACTGTTAACACTGTTATCGCTATCATCACCATCAGTGTATCACTGTTACCCTTATCATCACTGTTGTCTCTGTCGTCCCTGTTACCTCTGTCATCACTGTTACCATTATCATCACTGTCGTCTCTGTCATCCCTGTTACTTCTGTCATCACTGTTACCTTGGTCATCACTGCAGTCACAGATTAGCTGAGTTTACAGTATTACTCATGTCTCTCCTCTTTGTCTCTTTCCTCTCTCTTCCTCTCCTCCTCGTCTGTCCCAGTCGGACTCGGTCCGTACTATCTGGCACTACCAGTACCTGAGCTGGCCTGACCATGGAGTTCCCGAGGAGCCAGGAGGGGTGCTCAGCTTCCTCACTCAGGTCAACGCAAAACAGGACGAGTTCCCCGACGCCGGGCCTATGATCATCCACTGCAGGTATATTCTATCTATCATCCTTCTTGCTATATTCCAGCTGTATTCAGGAAGATAAGTGTCAGTTCTATCCATTCTCTGTAGTCTAGAATACAGTCAGATTGTTTTTTTTCAGGATTAAGATTAGTTGTTAAGATTAGTTGCCGTTCTCATGATTAGTTGTTAAGATTAGTTGCCGTTCTCAGCGTTTTATGTCAACTGACAGTTTATCCTATAGGAATTTTCCCCTTGTGACATCAAGAATAGGGAGAGTACTTGTACTCTTGGACGTAGTTGGTCCCGTTACTATTTGTTATGTACAGTAACCAGTCATAAGTACAGTATACTAGAGTACACAGTGTTTACATGGCTGTTGCAGTACAGTTTAATGACAAAAGCTATTTCCTTTGCTTCTTTACACTGACAGACTTCAATAGGGACAAAGTTCTTATTGAATACACTGGTTTTTGTAATGTAACCAAACTGTCACAGTCACATGTGTGTGTAAAGTGGTCATCCCCTGGCTGAGACATCTGTTAGTGTGACAACTTGACAAATCCCTCTCCATTTGTCCATGATCACTTTACATCTCCGATCACAGAACTGTGTAGATTATCAATACTGCTCTAGAAATTCTGTTTCAATACAGTTCAATCATTTCAGTGAATTGCATTGAGTCCAATCACATCATACTGTACTGACAGTTTTCCATACAACCACCCTGTTTGTGTTGTGTTTCTGTGTAGTGCTGGAATAGGCCGAACTGGCACCATTGTGGTGATCGACATGATCATCGAGACCATCAACACTAAAGGTGAGTCTCTTTCATTACCAAAGTTCCCGAATTTCTTCAGATCTTCATGATATTATACTGTCTCTTATTATGGTTCCTTCGTCCCATGATCCTTGTAATGCCTGTCAATATTGTAGAATTACAACGTTTTTACTGATTGTGATTTTAACTTCCTTGTTGTCCATAGGTCAGGACTGTGACATAGACATCCAGAAGAGCATCCAGATGGTGCGAGACCAGCGGTCAGGCATGGTGCAGACTGAAGCCCAGTACAAGTTCATCTACCTGGCCGTCTCTCAGTACATAGAGGCCTCCAAGGTCTCCATGATGGCCTACAACAAGGTCAGGGAGACGGAGGAAGGAGGAAGGGAGAGGGGGGGAGGTAGCAATAGAAGGAAGAGAGGAATATGGGTAATATGGAATCAAACATATATTGTTCTCCTCTCCCAAGTGCCCTGGCTACTGTATATATAGATAAAATAACACCAACAAGACAGCAGAGAGAGACTCAGATATCAGCTAACACAGCAGGATCTGTGTCAATACATACTTATCACTGTTGTTGTGCATGTTCTTTTGTCCTCCAGACACATATCTTATCAGAGACTGCATTGTAAAAGATGAACATTGACAGAGAGAGGTTGAAATTGTTAACGGAAATTGCTAATGTTCTGGGAAATTGTTAAGAAGACTATGACTTAACTCTGCACATTGACTTACCCTATACCACCCATCATGTCTAACACTCGCTTTCCTGTTCTCCCTTTTGTAGGGAGCTGAGACAGAGTATGGGAATTTGCAGTTCAAACACAAGCCTGCCAGCCGCAAGGTCTCCAAGTGAGTTTGTACAGTGTGTGTCTGTGCACATGCCATTGGAGTCCCGTACATATTCCCATCTCTCCTCAAAACCACACTCCAATGCCACATTGGGTGAAAGTTATCTGGCGCACGCCACACACTTAGTTCCTATAAGCCATATTGAAAATGGGACCATTGTTTATCATCGTCGTCCCCGGTGTTTCTCCATCTTTCTGTTGTCCAATTTAGCTGATTGGGCACATTTGTGTAACATTTGGAGGCGATACTGATATGAGAATGTAGGGACACGGGTTCTTCTTGACCAGGAAACACTTTGGACTGTATAATCAGGTTATAGGGATCACCCTGGTTATACAGCATGGTTCACCCTGGTTATACGGCTGGCTATAGGGATCAGAGTTCTTCCTGGTCAGGAAAGTCTCTGGGCCCTAGTAATGAAAGAGCCCCCGAGGCACCCACGTCATGTATAATCCAACCCCTATCTCTAGTACAGTATAATACACCACAGTGTAACCCCCATCTCTAGTACAGTATAATACACCACAGTGTAACCCCTATCTCTAGTACAGTATAATACACCACAGTGTAACCCCTGTCTCTAGTACAGGATAATACACCACAGTGTAACCCCTGTCTCTAGTACAGTATAATACACCACAGTGTAACCCCTGTCTCTAGTACAGTATAATACACCACAGTGTAACCCCTGTCTCTAGTACAGGATAACAGTGTAACCCCTGTCTCTAGTACAGGATAATACACCGCAGTGTAACCCCTGTCTCTAGTACAGGATAATACACCGCAGTGTAACCCCTGTCTCTAGTACAGGATAATACACCACAGTGTAACCCCTGTCTCTAGTACAGGATAATACACCGCAGTGTAACCCCTGTCTCTAGTACTGTATTAATTAATTATTAATTAATATGCCATTTAGCAGACACTTTTATCCAAAGCGACTTACAGTCATGCGTGCATAATTTTTTTTTTGTGTATGGGTGGTCCCGGGGATCGAACCCACTACCTTGGCGTTACAAGCGCCGTGCTCTACCAGCTGAGCTACAATACACCGCAGTGTAACCGCTGTCTCTAGTACAGGATAATACACTGCAGTGTACTCCCTGTCTCTAGTACAGGATAATACACCACAGTGTAACCCCTGTCTCTAGTACAGGATAATACACCACAGTGTAACCCCTGTCTCTAGTACAGTATAATACACCACAGTGTAACCCCTGTCTCTAGTACAGTATAATACACCGCAGTGTAACCCCTGTCTCTAGTACAGTATAATACACCACAGTGTAACCCCTATCTCTAGTACAGTATAATACACCACAATGTAACCCCTATCTCTAGTACAGTATAATACACCACAGTGTAACCCCTATCTCTAGTACAGTATAATACACCACAGTGTAACCTCTGTCTCTAGTACAGTATAATACACCACAGTGTAACCCCTGTCTCTAGTACAGTATAATACACCACAGTGTAACCCCTGTCTCTAGTACAGGATAATACACCACAGTGTAACCCCTGTTTCTAGTACAGGATAATACACCCCAGTGTAACCCCTGTCTCTAGTACAGGATAATACACCCCAGTGGAAACCCTGTCTCTAGTACAGTATAATACATTTTTTACATTTTTTTACATTTTTAGTCATTTAGCAGACGCTCTTATCCAGAGCGACTTACAGTTAGTGAATACATTTTTTTTTTTTATACTGGCCCCCCGTGGGAATCGAACCCACAACCCTGGCGTTGCAAACGCCATGCTCTATCAACTGAGCTACATCCCTGCCGGCCATTCCCTCCCCTACCCTGGACGACGCTGGGCCAATTGTGCGCCGCCCATGAGTCTCCCGGTCGCGGCCGGCTGCGACAGAGCCTGGATTCGAACCAGGATCTAGTGGCACAGTTAGCACTGCGATGCAGTACCTTAGACCACTGCGCCACAGTGTAACCCCTGTCTCTAGTACAGGATAATACACCACAGTGTAACCCCTGTCTCTAGTACAGTATAATACACCACAGTGTAACCCCTGTCTCTAGTACAGTATAATACACCACAGTGTAACCCCTGTCTCTAGTACAGTATAATACACCACAGTGTAACCCCTGTCTCTAGTACAGGATAATACACCACAGTGTAACCCCTGTCTCTAGTACAGTATAATACACCACAGTGTAACCCCTGTCTCTAGTACAGTATAATACACCACAGTGTAACCCCTGTCTCTAGTACAGTATAATACACCACAGTGTAACCCCTGTCTCTAGTACAGGATAATACACCACAGTGTAACCCCTGTCTCTAGTACAGTATAATACACCACAGTGTAACCCCTGTCTCTAGTACAGTATAATACACCACAGTGTAACCCCTGTCTCTAGTACAGTATAATACACCACAGTGTGAATCTGGCACTGGCCTGACACAGGTGGCTCAGCGCCCTGAGTTGTGTTAGGAAAGCTGTTGATTGGTTAGGAAAGCTGTTGATGAAGTTAGGAAAGCTGTTGATTGGTTCATCCATTTATCTAATTCCTGCACAGTATACTGTGGTCCCCGCGGGCCTCTGGTGCCCGCCTGGCCAAGGCTACGGCTACTCAAACTTGTGGGTAAGCTCACAATCCAGTGTGGTGTGGGTAAGCTCACAATCCATAGTTCACTGGAGAGCTCTGAGCTGGCTATGTACAGTATGAAGGGAAACGTGTCACTGTCGCTACTTCTGAGTGTTTATTTCCTAAGCTAGGCAATACCTGTTTTAATATTAAGTTTGTGCACTATCCTTGTGTTGTTAACCTGTCAGGGTACTGTTTGGTGGGCTGCTACTAACTGAAGATCCAAAGAGTGCTCCTTCCCTTACACACAAAGAAGCCTACATTATTATCTCTCAGCTATTTGAACCTGCGGGTTTCTAACATTATGTCCTCTCGCTTGTATTGTCTCTCTTTTAGAAACAAGGAACAGGAATTGTATGAAAACCAAGCCAAAGGAAGGAAAGACGTGAAGAAGCAGAAATCAGAGGAGAAGAAGAGTGGCTCAGTGAGAAAAAGATAAAGGAAGAGAGGATGAGAGAGCTGTGTCCTGATCATTTAATATAGAATTTGATATGAACTTTTTATTTTTAAAGATTTAAAGAGTGTTTTTTTATATCAAGCGATAAAGTTGATGCCTGTGATAGAATTAAGATTATAAAGCAAAGTACTACTAGATTTGGGCTCTGGGTCCCCTGCACCCATGCAAATGGTAATGGATTGACATTTTTGCTGAGAATAAAGGCTCAGAGTAATATGCATTCATTTCTTTCTTCATCACGATTTTATTGTATCCATTGGTGCAACGCCTACTGAATATTCTACAATGAATATAATAAAATGCCATGACCACGGGATCTAGCACAGCGGGGACACACTGTCACTCTGTCATTCCAATTAAAGTTTTAGATAAGATATATCTCTATAATGAGCTATTATGTTTATAGAATAACATTGGCAACATCACTGGGCTCCCCAGAGTCGCCGACGACCCCCAGTGACTGCCCTAAGCGAGAGGAAAACATTGAGTGAGATTTATGAACTTTGCCCCCGCCTCCCTCTCCCTCTTCTCCGCATGTGGTACAGAACAAATTTGTTCTCCAACCTCCAGCGATAGTGAAGGAGCTAGAGAGAGAAACTTTGAAAACGTTTGTGTGTGTAAGGTTTACTGTTAATTTCTGATTGCTTATTTCACTTTTGTTTATTTTTTTCACATGTTTTGGCAATGTAAACATATGTTTCCAATGCCAATAAAGCACATTTGAGTTGAAGAGAGAGAGAGAGAGAGAGAGAGAGAGAGAGAGAGAGAGAGAGAGAGAGAGAGAGAAAATGCAGTTTAATTAACGCGGAAAGGCCACAGACCTATCCAGTTCCCACTCCGTAGGGAGGAGTTAACATAATTTACGCTTTCCGTGGGAGAGGACAGGGGGCGAATAGGGAACTTAAAAGGGTTGTGCAACGTTTGCATCAGGGAATCGATAGCCGGGAATTGAAGGAGTAAAGAGAGCAGAGGAGGACAGTCATTGTGGATACTGCCGTGGTTCTGTTAAAAACATTCCAGCAGCTCAATCGTTCCATTATCGCGTGTTAGTTTTGCGTCTTCTGAATGACACTAGCAGACAGGGGGTTAGCTCACATGTTGCATACGTCTTATTAATATCAAACAATGCGGTAGTGGTGAGAGCAGTGAAAATAACAAAGAAAGATAATATCTGTAGAGAAGAGGCAATACTGTAGGTTACAGTTTTCTTTGTTGGGTTCCTCTGCAAAACTAAAGGCTTAAAGATGTCTAAACCAAATTACACAGGAACCTTTCACATGGTGTCTCAAGATAACTTCGAGAACTACCTCGCAGCTCTGGGTAAGATTATAGGAATCGTAATGTCTTTGTCTGTTACCACATATACTAGCTACAAATGCGTCATTGTTAAAAAGTGTCCAATACGTGTAGTTTTTTTTAATACATGTAATATGACACGTGTTAAGAGCTTACTGTACCTCGGCAACTTGCCTCCTTTCATTTTAATTTAACACGATTCATTCATTCTATTTTACTGAACTTTAAAATATTTGTTTTCCTCTGCCTACTGCTTTGAGATTCATTTAAGGGGTAGTGACTCATCCAAAGGCTTGCCACCCCCATTCCCAGAACCAAGTGTGATAGATCATCATGGCGCCTTAGCCTGTAAATGACCCTGGACACAGACAGGGGTGTGTGTGTCTGCGTGTGTGTCTCTGTGTGATATCTGGAGACATTAACAGGAGATGTAAAAGGACAGACACAGCTGTAGGTCAGAGATGTTGCCCCAGATACACTACCTCATTACTAGAATGGCAAGGTGTTATGTTTGGTTGATTAATTCTCTCTCGCTCTCTCTCGCTCTCTCTCTCCATTAGATATTAATTTTGCCCTGCGGAAGATAGTGTGTATGTTGAAGCCCAGTAAACAGATAGTCCACGACCCGGCCACAGGCAGTATGAAGATCCGCACACTCACCACCTTTAAGAACTTTGATATGGATTTCAAACTGGGTCAGGTCTTCACTGAGGACCTGGGACCTGTGGATGGACGAGTCTGTCAGGTGTGTGTGTTTACAGTTATACATGTATGGGTGGGTGGGTGATCTCTGTGTGTTCTTCATCATGTGCTGTTTGTAGAGACAGTGGCTAAATGTATTTTTATGTTTGTCTGTTTAATGGCTTGTTCAGACGTGTACAAATTCTCTCTAATTGGCTTCATATAGGTGTACTTGTCATACTACTTTGCTTTATTTGGGTGAAAATATACTTTTTGCCAGCTGTGTGTGTGGCTATTTTGGCCTGTCTGTGAGAGAGTACCTCCTGTTGTTTTTCTGTCATAAACACCCCCTGTTGCTTGTTTTCAGACCTGGCCAAACTGAGAGTGGTACAAGGCACTGATTGTGTGTGGTTGTGTGCGCTTTGATGTTTTTTGCAGACCACAGTGTGTGTTAATCCTGTTTTTCTCTGTTTTTAGACCACAGTGGACTGGGAGGGTGATAAGCTGGTGTGTGTTCAGAGAGGAGAAAAAGAGGGAAGAGGATGGACACACTGGCTGGAGGGAGACAAGCTACACCTGGTGAGAATGGAGGGAGGGATGGATTAACAGACAGGGATAAAGACTGTGAGGGAATAGGAATAGAGCTGAACTCAAGGCCAGAGAAAGGGAGGAGAGCAGGAAAGATTTGGGAGGAAAGGAGATGCTGGAATTGATATACCATTTCGAAAGTGGGGGATATGCAAATCAGATTTGGTAATGGAAGTTGTATGCGTGCACGTGTCCGTGCGTGTGTTTGTGTGAGAACAAATGAGATCCTTCTAAAAAAGAGGGGGTGTATGGCCCTCAATCCTCCTTATTTGTTGCCTGTACATGGGAAAGAAATGTGTGGGGCCCGAAGAAGGAGGAGAAAGAAACGGAGGAAAACACTGTTAAGAGTCTTCAGAGTGAAGGAATGGGCAGGAACAGGAAGAATAAGGAAAGGTTATTGTTTGTTACCATTTTAATGAGCTAAATACAGACTTCAACAAGACTCTCATAGTGAAGGGATTGAGAAGAGAATCACAGTATCTGTTTTAGCCTGCGCTTGAAATTGACTTTAGTTGGGCAATCTGTCTTTGCTTGTGATTACATGTAAATGCTGAATACAATTTCAAACAATAAGCATTGTTTTATTAAACAGCTCCCAAATGCTTCTAATAGAAAACAATACCTCATTGATATTTTGTTCAAATCCGAAAGAGAAGTTTGGAAATAAATGCCACTGGGGATCAGGCAGTAAAGGGTGGATTTGGTGAGTAACACAAGAAGAGGGGGAGGGAGGTCGCGGGGGGGAGTGGGATTGAGAGCAGGGAAGTACATGTGTGGGGGGTGGAGGTAGGGGGATGGAGATGAGATGGTGAAAAAGGAGGGGTGGGGGTTGGGGAGATAGGATTACGGAGTCCGGAGAGAAAAGAGCACAGCATTTATTTTATGACTGAGTCCATGGATTATCTTTCCCCACACACGCACTCACTCTCACACACACACTCTCACTCTCACACACACACTCCCACACTCACTCACTCACCCACACAAACTCCTCTCACTTTCTCCACCCTCTTCTCAACCCGTCCTTTTTTCACCCTCTCTAGGAGATGAGAGTTGGAGATGTAGTCGCCAGGCAACTCTTCAAGAAGGCCGACTGAAACCACTGGGAAGGATCTTGTTCATCAACTCAACGTTCATGATTCTCATTAGAAAACAGTCTAGGACTTGGTATATAAGTGCCATAGTTTTTTAAATATGATCATCATTGTTTTAAAACCATTACTTAATGGACAAAATTGAAGATATTTTTAAATTAGTGTGCTATTTCACTGTGGGAAAGATTGTCAATGGTCTATTTTGAATGTTGTCATGGTACAGTGCAGGGTGAACTGTGTAAACATTCCCAATGTGTTTCCCCACTACGATAGTTCACAATGCCATTGAATGTTCCCTTTTGTGATGTATGTGGCTGTTCTGTGTTCAAATATACCACCTTTTACCTCCGATTGGTTAGGAATTGATTGCTTACCCTTGGTCTGTGCCTAAAGGGATGCGTTTACACAGGCAGCCCAATTCTGATCTTTTTTTAAACTAATTGGTCTTTTGAACAATCAGATCAGCACCAAAAAAGATCTGATGTGGAAAGATCTGATATGATTGGTCAAAAGACCAATTAGTTGAAAAAAATATCAGAATTGGGCTGCCTGTGTGAATGCAGCCTGCAACTTTTACCCACAACTGATTTCAGTTGGCCTGCATTTAGCTGTAAATGCTACATGATATCACTAGAAGGCAGGGTAAAGCAGTTTGAAGTATGGTAGCCGCTGCTACTCCTATCCTACAGGGGGCGACAAACACTTAATTAATCAGTGTCCACTCGTGTTGCCAGATTCTGGACTTTGCTAAATCTTCAACTGTTTTGATAGAATTTCCAATGCTGTGGTTAAAACAACATTGAACAGATGCTGTGATGATGTTAAAATGAATATCTTATCTATTTAGCAACGCTGTATCTATCTATATACATCTACTTCATCAATCTGTTTTCCACCACAGTGATGTTCAATTCATGCTACAGACGACAACACGTCTTCGTTAGGGAAAGTGCAGCCGCCCGGGGCTTTGAAAGTTCCTTGGAAAAACTTAAAATAGAGAAGCTATGATGACATTTGACCTCAGTGGTTACACTTTATTCAAACCCTCCCCAACAGTTTTTTCAATGACCTAAGAATCAAAGAATGTTAATAGAATGTTTATAGTTCAGTATATTTACATTGCAGAGATAAGTGACTTTCAAAAAAGGTATTGTATCCAAGAACTTCCATGTAGGTCTTGTTCGTTGTAAAAAGTAATACAAAAAAAGATTTTGTTGAAAATCAGAATTATGTCCCTGGCCACTCATCTTCCTGTGGCTCTGATAGGTAGCGGGAGGGTCTAATGTAATTTCCTCTCATTCCATTACTGTGATCCGATTGGCTGAATCGCTCTGACGCTGTCATTGTTATGGTGGCGCTATTGGACTCAACTTCACAGTCTGACGTACAGCCGTTAACCTGAATAACAGCTGGGACCTGAATAACAGCTGGGATGCACAATGGAAATATTATGAGCACACAACAATAACCCTCCAACGTCACGTAATAAGAAAACAGAAGTACTGTATTTATCCTTCATGAAGCCTACACAAGCCCCATCTCAAGGTATCAATAAATCTGTATTTTAATGATTTCATTTTAGGCGCTTGCAAATGGAGAAATAACTCATCCTGATGGTCGATTATATTGGCAGCCTCAGTTTAGATTACATCTGATCCATTCTAAATGAGAGCCATCACATTATCGATAATTGGGAAGCTGCAGAACTACATTTACATTTTAGTAATCTCTTATCCAGAGCAATTTACAGTTAGTGCATACATTATTTTCATACATACCCGTGGGAATCGAACCCACAACCCTGGCGTTGCAAACGCCATGCTCTACCAACTGAGCTACATCCCTGCCGGACATTCCCTCCCCTACCCTGGACAACGCTGGGCCAATTGTGCGCCGCCCCATTGGTCTCCCGGTCGCGGCCGGCTAAGACAGAGCCTGGCTTCGAACCAGGATCTCTAGTGGCACAGCTAGCACTGCGATGCAGTGCCTTAGACCACTGCGCCACTCGGGAGGTGAATGATGGATATGGTTTAATATAGCCGAATGAACAGGTTTATAACATATAGCTACTCCACATGGAAAGTATGTGTTTTTGGTGATGAGATTTGTCAGGAGATTATTTAAAGTTTCAAACTTACCTCATCTTGTGGATACCTTGCACTGGATTCAATCCATATTGCCGAAGTTCAGCTCTATAGCGTGCTTGAAATTTAAAGGTCATTTCCGATTGAGCTGACATATACAGTGTTTACCGTGAATGCAGTCACTGTGAACGAAGGGGAACATGGCCTTTAAGTTTCAATCACGCTATAGTGCTGAACTTTGGCGATACGGATTGAATCGAGCCCTGAAACCATGCTAACCAGGGTCCGATCACTCATATTGTTCTGTACTCTACGATGCTAATGCTAACCTGTAGCTCAGTAAACAAACCCAACTTACTCTCTGGGTCCACTGAATACCTCCTTTCTATGCGGTATACACTACCGGTCAAAGGTTTTAGAACACCTACTCATTCAAGGGTTTTTCTTTATTTTTACTATTTTCTACATTGTAGAATAATAGTGAAGATATCAAAACTATGAAATAACACATATGGAGTCATGTAGTAACCAAAAAAGTGTTCAACAAATCAAAATATATTTCATAAAAGAGATTCTTCAAATAGCCACCCTTTGTCTTGATGACAGCTTTGCACACTCTTGGCATTCTCTCAACCAGCTTCATGAGGTAGTCACCTGGAATGCATTTAAATTAACAGCTGTGCCTTCTTAAAAGTTAATTTGTGGAATTTCTTTCCTTCTTAATGCGTTTGAACCAATCAGTTGTATTGTGACAAGGTAGGGGGGGTATACAGAAGATAGCCCTATTTGGTAAAAGACCAAGTCCATATTATGGCAAGAACAGCTCAAATAAGCAAAGAGAAATGACAGTCCATCATTACTTTAAGACATGAAGGTCAGTCAATACGGAACATTTCAAGAACTTTGAATGTTTCTTCAAGTGCAGTCGCAAAAACCATCAAGCGCTCTGATGAAACTGGCTCTCATGAGGACCGCCACAGGAATGGAAGACCCAGAGTTACCTCTGCTGCAGAGGATAAGTTCATTAGAGTTACCAGCCTCAGAAATTGCAGCCCAAATAAATGCTTCACAGAGTTCAAGTAACAGACACATCTCAACATCAACTGTTCAGAGGATACTTTGAATCAGGCCTTCATGGTCGAATTGCTGCAAAGAAACCACTACTAAAGGACACCAATAATAATAAGAGACTTGCTTGGGCCAAGAAACACGAGCAATGGTGGAAATTTGTCCTTTGGTCTGGAGTCCAAATTGGAGAATTTTTGTTCCAACCGCCGTGTCTTTGTGAGACACGGTGTGGGTGAACGGATGATCTTCGCATGTGTATTTCCCACCATAAAGCATGGAGGAGGAGGTGTTATGGTTTGGGGGTGCTTTGCTGGTGACACTGTCTGTGATTGATTTAGAATTCAAGGCACACTTAACCAGCATGGCTACCACAGCATTCTGCAGCGATACGCCATCCCATCTGGTTTGGGCTTAGTGGGACTATCATTTGTTTTTCAACAGGACAATGACCCAACACACCTCCAGGCTGTGTAAGGGCTATTGTACCAAGAAGGAGACTGATGGAGTGCTCCATCAGATGACCTGGCCTCCACAATCCCCCGACCTCAACCAAATTGAGATGGTTTGGGATGAGTCGGACCGCAGAGTGAAGGAAAAGCAGCCAACAAGTGCTAAGCATATGTGGGAACTCCTTCAAGACTGTTGGAAAAGCATTCCAGGTGAAGCTGGTTGAGAGAATGCCAAGAGTGTGCAAAGCTGTCATCAAGGCAAAGGGTGGCTATTTGAAGAATCTCAAATATAAAATATGTTTTGATATGTTTAACACTTTTTTGGTTACTACATGATTCCATATGTGTTATTTCATAGTTTTGATGTCTTCACTGTTATTCTACAATGTAGAAAATAGTAAAAATAAAGAAAAACCCTTGAATGAGTAGGTGTTCTAAAACTTTTGACCGGTGGTGTATGCATTAGAGGAGCTACATTTGTAATTGTGGTGAACTATTCCAACTACCACTGAGGGACTTTCACCTGTGTTGATGAAGAGTGGCTCAGTACATTTCTGGTCCAGGCTCCAATGGCTGTTGCACTCTGTGGGGAACTTGAGCTCAGCTGGAGCGAAGGAAGGAGGTGCAGGCTCTACAGGAATACCAGGACCACTGGAGTTGGCTACAGACAGACAGGCAGGACAGACAGACATGATATCACTGAGTAGCACTATCAACATTCATGTACTTGTTGCATCTTATCTGACTTTCTGTTATTGTGGGTAAGTCCAACCGCCACTGGTGAAGCATTGATATAAAGGACAGTCACAAAATGTTTCAACCAGTGACGCCACTGTACTTTACCCAAAGCTTTCTTGCTATGAGTTAACTGGCTGTGATACATGTGTCATGTGGTTTTCCAATAACCGTGTCAAGCTCGACACAGGATGTGGTTTTGTCTCTCACACTCAAGAAGCTATAATAGCTTGCTTCATGCCTACTATAGTTTCATAACTGATGATGAGTAGATCTACATGGAATCTGGAGGCAGGTTTTTTTATTTCTACCTTCACAGGGTAGTCTAACTGCGGTTATTTATTCTGTGGAACCTGTATTTAGCTTGATTTGAATTAAATACTGTATATATATAATTGAAACAACATTTTTCAAAAAGAGGATATCAGTTTGAGATCACAGATATCCTCTGTGTACCTACAATGTTCTCTCAACTCCCCATTTTATGCTCAGTCGTTTCTCAACAAACATCTGTTTGTTTGAGATATTAGGCTGAAACATAAATGTTATAACCAGAAGCCAATCGCAGTGGTGTCTACAGGGTCTCCTCTTATGCTCCTGTGACATTTAGCTGCACTCGGACTCACATTGGTTGATGTGCTGTGCACTCACCTCCTGATCAAGCATATGAGTAATGCATGCAAGTTTCACTTTAACTCATATTGTCTGTGATCTGATTCATCTCTAGAGGAAGTGGCGAGTTCCTACGTCTGACGGTGAAAAGCAATGACCTTATTTCCTTTCATTCAATCCAAATTACGTCTAGCACCTTGACACCTAATATTTGTACAATGTGATGCATATTGTCACTGTGTAGGAGAGATTAGAAACACTAAGAATTCTCACTGCCTCTGTGTCTGTCACCAGATAATATCTACTGTACCTGATCTGAAATCTGCTGGCTGGGAAATCACACAGAGAGACAAAAAGAGCATTTACTTAACAATTGGTAGGCCTAACTATCAAATGGGGCCTAGTTTGGTGCTTTAAAAAAAAGTAATCCCAAAGAAACAAACAAGTTGTTAATAGGTTATAACTATGTATGTACAAAAGCCCTCAGAGTGGAGTAGTGTACAGCTGAGATGGACTTGCTCAAGCAAGTTGATTTCACCTGTTGACTCGCTCATGCAATCACACACCTGTCAGTAATTATCAGGACTGCCCTGATAGGCGCATTCACACTTCGTTTGTATTTAAAGCCTGTCAAGCCATTTCTCAGTTTCTTTCCAGTTGTGTGCGTCCAAGTTAAGAGTAGGTTTGTTTCCTGTCCTTATTTTCATTATTTCAGATGTATTGGTTTAATAGGTTTATCCTTATCACCTTTTATGTTATGCAACTTGCACATGATGTCTCTCCTTTGTTGCAGAACCACACAAATCCAACTTTACCATGTCTAACCACAAGTCCTCAATAAATATGTGAACTTTGGCACTGTCTCTGTCATCGGCGAGTACTGCTGGTGACATCTATCCAACAAATTACCTAGGTTCCTTAGCCTATTTTTCATGGTCCTTCAAGCTGGATGATGTTTACCAGGTGTACCGTAGCAGATTTCCATCCACCACGGCAAAGACAGTGTTTCCTTCTCACCTGAAGGACTGTGTGGTTGGTCACTGTAGGGAGTAGCGGAGTGGTTGGTCACCCATCAACAGGACCGGGCTCTATCAGCATGACTTTGTCTCCATTCATCATGTCTTTGGGCTACCAACATAAACAAGCACCATTGTGGGAAATGGCGAAGCGATGCTCCAGTGCTCCGGCAACACAACACCACCCCTTCCCCGGGCTACCCATATATCTACTGAACCTGTAATGTCACCACTGTGGACCAGCCAAGACTCTCGCCTAACTCCCAACTGCACTGGACACAAAGCATCAGCTGGCAGTTGCCTTGGAGTTGTCAAACGCTTCCCAAATGGAGCCTCAGCGACGCTGTTGCCATGGCATCTCCTTCCGCTCCCACCTTGGAGCCACACCCTGCTGTGCTGTAAAGTGTCCAACTTTCCTGACGCCCTGGGCCTTGGCTTTCCTGACGCCCTGGGCCTTGGCTTTCCTGACGCCCTGGGCCTTGGCTTTCCTGACGCCCTGGGCCTTGGCTTTCCTGACGCCCTGGGCCTTGGCTTTCCTGACACCCTGGGCCTTGGCTTTCCTGACGCCCTGGGCCTTGGCTAATCCATGTCACAGGTTTTCAACATGACCCCGCGCCCGTCCGAGGGGCCAACCTGTGCCAATCCAAGGTGCCATCTTGCGACCGCCCGAGGGGCCAACCTGCACCAATCCAAGGTGTCATCTTGCGACCGCCCGAGGGGCCAACCTGCGCCCGTCAAGGGGCGGCCTACCCAGTGCCCAACCTAGGGGCCATCCCGCGCCTGTCCAAGGGCCAACCTGCACTCGTACAAGGGGCCATCCCGCGCCTGTCCAAGAGGTAGCCTACCAGGTACCCATTCAAGGGGTCTCACCTGAGCCTGCCCAAGTGGTCTACCCTGCCACGCCTACATCGGTCCTGACCAACAACCCTATTTTTCAATGTTATTACCATTTTTCATTGTAATGTCTTAGTAAATACCTACAAATGTTTCTACAGTACAAAGAGAGAGTCCCTGTAATATGAAGGAATATGGTGGGAACTCCCTCCAGCTAATGCTTACATCAATCCAATATTTTTAAATCCACGATGAGGAGTGCACAAACACACACTTATTCAGTGTGGGCGTTGGCAGTGATGACATACGCACCTGGCATGTAAGATTGACGCTTGGCCCTCCAATAGATGCAGATCAAGATTATGATGAGGAGTGAGGTCACCACTAGTCCCGCCCACAGACTGGTAGGCAGTATCCAGTGACACCCTGAGAGAGAGGGACAACCTAACAAACAGCCAATCTATATATATATCTGAACCATTTCTGAGGGAGAACGTAATGTGCTCTAATCTTGTTTACAGTATTCGATGTACATTACTTATGTCAATAAATCATTCAATCAATTCAATTTTACTGAGAGAGAAAGAGGGGAGGTGGAAGAAATATTGGTAAAATGCCATGTATACCATCTAGTTTTCTATATACTTCCACCTACTGTGCAATAAAGGAGATGCTATACGACCTACGAGATATAGATATGGCATCACACACAGCATCGGTCGTCTCAGTCCCAGCACTTTTCACCTCCCTCCCTAGGTCCCCACACCTGAGAGAGAGAGCGAGAGAGAGGGGAAAGAAAGTGATTGTGAAACAGAGAAAGGAGTTTAACCCCACAGTCCCACAACTTTATAAAAATGTCAAACGTTTTGTGTCAAACAAATGCACCTACTGAGTTGACGTTTAATAAAAATCAGAGCCACTTTGTGTGAAGGGTTCTGACCTGGTGTGTGTTTGGCAGCGTGTGATGGCATCGGAGATGTTGTTGTAGGTCCCAGGTAGGCACGGGGCACAGACTGTGTCATTGTGGGGGGTGGCTGGGGGGTTTAGGAACAGATGTCAGACATGTCAGCTGCTCAAAGTAAAGTACACACACCCGGCAGATTATACAAGCACAGAGTAATAAGATGTTTTGTACTGCCAAAGACCCACAGTGGTTTAAACATTTACCCTGAGTGCATCTTAATAGACTACAGACTCTGATTTCTTGTCAGGTGTCTTTTCAATGACAGCCTTAGTATCTCCAACTCATGATCAGCTCATCAGAGGCAATGGTGTGTAATATTAGAACAGGGTGTAGAGGTGAGGAGGCTGCTGAGGGGGGGACGGCTCATAATAATGTCTGGAACGGAGCAAATAGAATGGCATCAAACCATGTGTTTGATGTATTGGAAACCTTTCCACTTATTCCGCTACAGCCATTATCACGAGCCTGTCCTCCCCAATTAAGGTGCCACCAACCTCCTGTGGTGTAGAGGTGAGGAGGCAGTTCTCACCTTCTTTCACGACCCCTGACCCCAGAGGGCACAGGGTCACGGGTAGGCAGTGTTCGCATCCATCGTCCGTACAGTAGAAACCAGTCACACACACACATTGCCTGTCCCTACTGGCTTCACACTCACTCCATACCCTCTGGTTATTACCTGAGAGAGGGAGAGAGAGATGGAGAGAAGAGAAGGGAGAGAAAGAGTGGGAGAGAGGACGGTAGAGGGAGAGATGAGGTATTGAGCGGGAAAGGCAAAAAATGATGAAGTGAGGTGAAAAGAGAGAGGGGATAGAGAGCGAGAAAGAGAGGAGGGGGCAGGGGGGAGCGAGAGAGAGAGAGCAGGGGCGGGGGGGCGGGGAGAGAGAGAGAGAAGGGGGATGAGAGAGCGAGGGGGGCGGAGAGAGAGAGAGAGAGAGAAAGCTTTGACTATGTACAGACTCAGTGAGCATAGCCTTGCTATTGAAAAAGGCCGTCGTAGGCAGACCTGGCTCTCAAGAGAAGACAGGCTATGTGCACACTGCCCACAAAATGAGGTGGAAACTGAGCTGCACTTCCTAACTTCCTGCCAAATGTATGACCATATTAGAGGCACATATTTCCCTCAGATTACACAGATCCACAAAGAATTTGAAAACAAACCCAATTTTGATAAACTCCCATATCTACTGGGTGAAATACCACAGTGTGACATCACAGCAGCAATATTTGTGACATGTTGCCACAAGAAAAGGGCAACCAGTGAAGAACAAACACCATCGTAAATACAACCCATATTTATGTTGATTTATTTTCCCATTTGTACTTTAACTATTTACACAATCGTAAAACACTGTATATAGACATAATATGACATTTTAAATGTCTTTATTCTTTTGGAACTTCTGAGTGTAATGTTTACTGTTAATATTTATTGTTTATTTCACTTTTGTTTACTATCTACTTCACTTGCTTTGGCAATGTTAACATACGTTTCCCATGCCAATAACGCCCTTAAATTGAAATTGAATTGAGAGAGAGAGAGAGAGAGAGAATGAGTCAGATCAAAAAGGAAGTGACAGTGTTGGGATTTTTCATAAGAAGATGATTTTACTCAGAGAACAATGAGTGTCAGAATAAGTAGGAGGAAGGGACAGGAGGGGGGAACTTACTGGAATGGCAGACCCTACAGGGTAAACATTTTTTCAAGGAGTTTAATTCAGCAGTGTAGTATTCATGTTGACAGGTTTCACACTCTGTTTTTGTAGACTTGCCACAGTCGGTGCGAACATACTGTCCTGGAGTAGGGTTAGGAATGAGAGAATGACAGAGAAATGTGATCATCCATACACCCATATATAGGCCACAGTATTATACTGTCCATAGTAATGTGTTCATCACAGGAGGTTGGTGGCATCTTAATTGGGGAGGACGGGCTCGTGGTAATGGCTCGAGCAGAATGAGTGGAATGGTATCAAATACATGGTTTCCATTCCATTCGCACCGTTCCAGCCATTATTATGAGCCGTCCTCCCCTCAGCAGCCTCCACTTGTGTTCATGTAGTGTTGTGGAGATAAAGGGGCTGATGTTTTTCCCTCTATACTGCAGTTCATCATTTGATAATATGGTCATGTTGCAGACAAAGCAATTTACAGTTAATACACATAATATAATGTGTATATGTGGCACATGTATAACACTGGTCTTTCAGACATCTTGCTCCAACAGCCATCTGAACAACAGAAACACACCATTAGTCACTCACCTTTATGACAACGCTCACAGCACCTTTCCACCCCAGAAGCATCATGAAGGTATTCCTCAGTTTTGCATTCCAATCTAGCCATCTCTAGTCAAAAATGTTGACTCTATCATAAAGTTTGTGTTTTTCAGTAATTCTCCTCTGTAAAATCGTTACTATTAAAGTAAAACATTCTTCTTCACCATCAATGTTGTTGATCCATTGGTCTCAGTTTCATGTATATCCTTTCACACTCCGCCTCTCAGTCTCTAGCTCTCTCTCTCTCTCTATCACTATTTCTGCATTTTACTTCTTTCTTCCGCTGAAGTATCACTCACTCTTTGTCTTCCTCTCTCCTCTCTCTCTCTCTCTCTCTCTCTCTCTCTCTCTTCCTTCGTTCTCTCAGAGTGAATATAGAGCTCCTTCCTCGCTCTCTCACCCACCTCTTTCCCCCTCGCTTGTCCTCCACAGTGGAAAGCCCCGATGCCCCTCATCTGCCCTGTGTCTCTCTCTCTCTCTCTCTCTCTCTCTCTCTCTCTCTCTCTCTTATCTCTCTCTCATCTCTCTCTTCTCCTCTCTCTCTCTCTCTCTCTCTCTCTCCCCCCCCTTTCCTTCCTGCCCTCCCTCTCTGGCACGAGGTGCACTGTTCTGGACTGTGTAAACTAGCTGTAGAGAGGTGGATTCTAGAGGCTGCTTTTGGCACTGTCTCCAGATCAGTGTGTCCAGATATGGCACACAATACACACCAACACAATAAGATACTTCCCCTGAACCACTCCACCCCTTCCCGTCACTCTCTCTCCCTTTATTTCTTTACTGAACCTTTGTACTGATAGTGTTGGTAATGCTGCTGATCTGGAGCTGCTGAGAGATGTGTTTAGATGATGAGATGAGTAGATGAAGACAGAAATATATACCCGAAAAGCGAGAGAGAAGAGCGGAAGAGGAGAGAGCAGAGCGAGAGAGAGAGAGGGAGAGAGATTAGCTCTCTCTTTCTCTCTTCTCTCTTCGCTCTCTCTCTCTCTCTCTCTCTCTCTCTCTCTCTCTCATCTCTCTCTTCTCTCTCCAATTCAACTCAAATTGCTTTTTTGGCATGGGAAACATGTTTACATTGCCAAAGCAAGTGGAAAAGATAATAAACAAAAGTGAAATAAACAATCAGAAATGAACAGTAAAGTTCTCGTTCTCTCAATGTGGAATAGACGTTGAATTGACGTCTGTGCCCAGTGGGAGGGGTTAGAGGGAGAGAGTCAAAATGAAAGCAAGAAAAGAGAAAGACAGTGAGTTTGTTTATTTGCTGAGGCAGAAGTGATCACTTCCTCACCATGCTAGGAGTGAGGTATGTAATGCTTTTTCATAATCTTTTATCAAACAGAATATAAATACAAATATAATATGTAAATTAATCTGCCTGCATTTATACAGCACTGAGTGATATTAAAAGGCAGAAAACAAGCAACACATTTGAAGTGACGGCCTTATGCAACGATCGTGATTTACAGTTTCCTTCTTGGGATATGTGGTGTAATTTTATTTTTCCTCAATGGATGTGATTGTGTGAAATTAACTCAGCATTTGTTAATAAGGGCTAATATTATAATATATGTACTGTAAGTCTGAACTGATATTCTCATGCATTTCTCACCCTTGTTCTTTCTCTCTCTCTCTCTCTCTCTCTCTCTCTCTCTCTCTCTCTCTCTCTCTCTCTCTGTTTATCTCTGTTTATCTCTCTCTCTCTCTCTCTCTCTCTCTCTCTCTGTTTATATTATTGACTCTCTCTTTACACGTGATACTTTCCTTCACTTTCTGTGTCTCTTTGTTAATCTCCTGTTCTCCTCTTTGACCGTGTGACATCTTTTTCTCTGTATCTCTCCCCCTTTTTGCCCCCCCACTCTCTCTTTCTCTCTCTCTCATCTCCCTTCTCTTTCACCCCCCTCTCTCTTTTTCTGTCTTCGCCCTCTCCCCCAGCCTCTGTCTGTTCCTCCTGCCCCTCTGCGCCATGTCGATGCTCTCGGGGTGGGTAGAGTCTCCAGGCTATCCCCGTGGTTACCCACCTGATACTAGTATGAACTGGAGCAGGTGTGCCCCTCCCGGCCACACCCTCGCCCTCAAGCTGACACACCTGGACATGGAGGACAGTGACGGCTGCGAGAACGACGCCCTGGAGGTCAGTATAAAGGGTTAAAGGCAATTATTTATATATACACTATATGACTGATAGGAGGTGCTGTTTTGAAGCCACTGCGCCTCCATCTTGGCACTCCCCCACCATTGTAAAAATGATTTTGGAAGCTATAGAAATGCATTTATTAATTTCTACATTTGGTTTTGCCATGCTCATTCTATTGCAGACACCTTAATGCATACTGTTAAAGGATATTATGTGAGCTAAACATAAAAATATACAGTTTTCCTTGAAGGATACTTAAATACATGTTATTTTGTCCTTGAAACGTGTACTTGAAATAGTGTAGAATTTCATTCATTCATATGGAGGACTTCTTCTTCTGAGGAGTGCCACTATGGCCGACTGGTAGCGTCAATGCCTCTCATTGGCCAATACATAGCATCAACAATCCATTGGTTAAAGTCAGGTGTCACTGACTCAAGGATGACACTTTTACTGTAATGTAACATACTTTGAGACATAGCAAAAAGTAGTCTATTATTCCTATTATTGGGGTGGGAATGGGAGGGATATTAGATGTCACAATTAGAAATCCTAAGGTGTCCATGTGTTGTTAAAGATCTGATAAAATTATCCCTTTGTTAGATCTTTGCAGATGGAAAGCAGATAGCCATTCAATGTGGTGAAATGTCGTTTGAGGACCTTGATTCTACCGTCAATCCCTCACTCCTCTCCTCCATGGAGGGCTGCCTCTCTCTCTCGTTCCGCTCAGACTACTCCAACACTAAGAGGCACACTGGCTTCAGAGGGTTTTACACACTGCAAGGTGAGGAGGAGAAAGGGACCATTGTTTCATAGAGCATTGATGTATTTCTCTTAGACTATGATGAAATGAAAAACATTTTTTTTGTTGTTGTTGTTGTTGTTGTTGTTGTTGCGTTACCTCATGTGACCATTGATTGGTACCTTAGTCAGACCTATGTTGTCTTTTTAACAGACTTTGATGAGTGTGAGGACGACCCAGATAACGGATGTACCCAGTTCTGCCACAACTACATCGGAGGCTACCTCTGCTCCTGTCGCCTTGGTTACCACCTGGACACAGACAGACACACCTGCACAGGTATGGAGAAACAGAGAGAGAGAGAGAGAGAGAGAGAGAGGAGAGAGAGAGAGGAGAGAGAGAGAGAGAGAGAGAGAGAGAGAGAGAGAGAGAGAGAGAGAGAGAGAGAGAGAGAGAGAGACGGGAAGGGAAGGGAATGGGAAAGAGGAAGTGAAAGACAGAAGGAACAGAGGAGAGAAGAATGAAGTATAATGATGATGATGCCAATTGTAGTAATAACAACAAAGACGTGATGGCGTTACTACTTGTTGCTCGTACAGCTACCGACTTCATGTTACAACACCATCCCTCTATGATGGTAATGATGATGACAATGAGGGTTATGTTATTGATCATACGTCTCTACCGCAGTGAGTTGCACTGAGGACCTGTCCGGCTCACTGCGTGGCGTGATATCCAGTCCGCCTCGGCCCGGCCCGTACGCTGAGCATGCCCACTGCTCCTACACCCTGTCAGTAGAGGACAACCTGGAGCTGCTCCTACGCTTCACTGGGGAGTTTGATGTGGAGCAGGGGCCTGATGGACAATGTGTGGACACACTCATGGTGAGTAGCTGTAGCCTATAAATAGGGTCCCGAGTTTTTCTTAGTCAGGTCATGTGGTCAAGAAAAACTCAGCTGATTCTCATCATTACTATGTGTAAATTCTGTGAAATTCCTACTTTATGCTTTGCACCCATGAAGGTGACCAATCCCTCTAACAAGATTTGCACCTGACATACGCTGTGAAAGTAACCAGGAAGTGACTACCCCCTCAGCCTTGTAGTTTTTCCAATTTTTTCAAAGCGCAAAAATATAGCGCAATGGTCTAGTGTAAAAACGTAATAAAAGGCATCTGGTAGCGGAAGTGGCCGTCACCTTCACAGCGAATAGGAGGACATTAAACCAATCTACTACATTTCAAGGTCACTGAATATGCTTCAACAACAATGTCCCCCTCTCACCTTGTAGTCTTACAGTATTCCTGATACAGTACATATCATATTTTCCTGGTACAACATTCTTCATACAACATATTCTGTTGTTTTCAGGTTGAGACTTCCTCTGGGACTCGGGGGCCATTCTGTGGCCGTGTGCCTCCCTCCTCCCCCCTCCGCACTGGGTCACACCGCGCCCGCATTCTCTTCAACTCCGACGGACAGGGCTCCAACAACGGCTTCACTATCCACTACAAAACCACAAGTAAGGGTTTCTATAAGGTCAGGAAACTACTAATTTCCTTGCACACGATAACTGAAAAATGACAACTTTTATACATAAAAAAAGCACATTACTGAATTAAATAATGTAATATATATATATACCATTTAGCAAACGCTTTTATCCTAAGTGACTTACAGTCATGCATTGGGCCCTAACCTGTGGATTTCACATGACTGGGAATACAGATATGCATCTGTTGGTCACAGATACCATAAGAAAAATGGGCCTCACAAAGGGCCTCAGGGTCTCATTGCGGTATTTCTGTGCATTCAAATTGCCATCGATAAAATGCAATTGTTCATTGTCCGTTGCTTATGCCCGCCCATACCATAACCCCACTGCCACCATGGGGCACTCTGTTCACAACATTGACATCAGCAAACCGCTCGCCCACATGATGCCATACACGTGGTCTGCGGTTGTGAGGCCTGTTGGATATACTACCAAATTCTCTAAAATGACATTGGAGGCGGCTTATGGTAGAGAAATTAATGTTCCATTCTCTGGCAACAGCTCTGGTGGACATTCCTGCAGTCTGCATGCCAATTGCACACTCCCTCAAAACTTGAGACATTTGTGGCATTGTGTTGTGTAACAAATCTGCACATTTTAGAGTGGCCTTTTATTGTCCCCAGCACAAGGTGCACCTGTGTAATGATCATGCTGTTTAATCAGCTTCTTGATATGCCACACCTGTCAGGTGGATGGATTATTTTGGCAAAGGAGAAATAAGCTTTTTTTGCATATGAAACATTTCTGGGATCTTTTATTTCAGCTCATGAAACATGGGACCAACACGTTACATGTTGTGTTTATATTTTTGTTCTGTATACAATGTTGTTGATCCACCCTCAGTTTTCTCCTATCACAGCCATTCAACTCTGTAACTGTTTTAAGATGGCTATTGGCTTCATGGTGAAATCCCTGAGCGGTTTCCTTCCTCTCTGGCAACTGAGTTAGGAAGGATGGCTGTATCTTTGTAGTGACTGACCAAAGCCTAATAACTTCACCATGCTTAAAGGGATATGTCTACTTTTCATGTCAACTTTTTAAAAATTCATAAAATCTACCAATCGGTGCCCTTCTTTGCGAGGCATTGGAAAACCTCCCTGGTCATTGTTGTTGAATATGTGCTTGAAATTCACTACTCGATTGAGGAACCTTAATTGTATGTGTGAGGGACAGAGATTGGGTAGTCATTAAAAAATCATGTTAACCACTATTACTGCACACAAAGTGAGTCCATGCAACTTCATGTGTATTTGTAAGCACATTTTTACTCCTGAACTTATTTCAGCTTTTCATTAAAAACTTTTTTTTGTATTTTCTAAAAACAACATTCCACTTTGACATTATGGTGTGTAGATTAGTGACACAAAATCTCAATTTAATAAATGTTTTAATCAGGCTGTAACACAACAAAATGTGGAAAAAGCAGTTGAATACTTTCTGAAGGCACTGTATAATGGATCAAAATAAAGTGATGACTTGTTTAATTGCAGAAAAGACCTGCCGAGGGATTGTGACCTCCAACTCTACCTTGGCCCCACAGCAACCTGAATATCACCAAGGTGACACAGTCACGGTGACCTGTGACCTAGGGAGTGTTCTGAACACAGTGAGTAGGCTACAGTACTGTAAGTTCACAAGAGGCAGTAATAGGGTTCAGTTAGCTTTCATATTAAAACCAAGAGCTTGGTTTGGTACTGTAGAAAAACATTTGGACAATTTGAATGTTCTCAAAAACATGACATAATAGATTGTACACTACCAGATACATGTGTTCTCTCTTCACAAAGGGCGACAAAGAGTATGAGTCGACATGCAAGAGGACAGGCGAGTGGAGTCCTGTACACCACTGTGAACGTGAGTGAGACGAGACCGTCTCAACAATTGTATTTCACAGGATTAATATAGCCAGCGTTTAACACCCTTAATAGATGTAACTCAAAATGTTCTGGTGTAGAAAAATAGCAAAAGTTGAATATGTACAGTCGAAGTCGGAAGTTTACATACACTTAGGTTGGAGTCATTAAAACTCGTTTTTCAACCACTCCACACATTTCTTGTTAACAAACTATAGTTTTGGCAAGTCGGTTAGGACATGTACTTTGTGCATGACACTAGTCATTTTTCCAACAATTGTTTACAGACAGATTATTTCACTTATAATTCACTGTATCACAATTCCAGTGGGTCAGAAGTTAACATACACTAAGTTGGCTGTGCCTTTAAACAGCTTGGAAAATTCCAGAAAATGATGTCATGGCTTTAGAAGCTTCTGATAGGCTAATTGACATAATTTGAGTCAATTTGGAGGTGTACCTGTGGATGTATTTCAAGGCCTACCTTCAAACTCGGTGCCTCTTTGCTTGACATCATGGAAAATCAAAAGAAATCAGCCAAGACCTCAGAAAAAAATTGTAGACCTCCACAAGTCTGGTTCATCCTTGGGAGCAATTTCCAAACGCCTGAAGGTACCACGTTCATCTGTACAAACAATAGTACGCAAGTATAAACACCATGGGACCACGCAGCCATCATACCGCTCAGGAAGGAGACGCGTTCTTTCTCCTAGATATGAACGTACTTTGGTGCGAAAAGTGCAAATCAATCCCAGAACAACAGCAAAGGACCTTGTGAAGATGCTGGAGGAAACAGGTACAAAAGTATCTATATCCACAGTAAAACGAGTCCTATATCGACATAACCTGAAAGGCCGCTCAGCAAGGAAGAAGCCACTGCTCCAAAATCGCTATAAAAAAGCCAGACTACGTTTTGCAACTGCACATGGGGACAAAGATTGTACTTTTTGGAGAAATGTCCTTTGTTCTGATGAAACAAAAATAGAACTGTTTGGCCATAATGACCATCGTTATGTTTGGAGGAAAAAGGGGGATGCTTGCAAGTCGAAGAACACCATCCCAACCGTGAAGCACGGGGGTGGCAGCATCATGCTGTGGGGGTGCTTTGCTGCAGGAGGGACTGGTGCACTTCACAAAATAGATGGCATCATGAGGAAGGAAAATTATGTGGATATATTGAAGCAACATCTCAAGACATCAGTCAGGAAGTTAAAGCTTGGTCGCAAATTGGTCTTCCAAATGGACAATGACCCCAAGCATACTTCCAAAGTTGTGGCAAAATGGCTTAAGGACAACAAAGTCAAGGTATTGGATTGGCCATCACAAAGCCCTGACTTAAATCCTATAGAAAATGTGTGGGCAGAACTGAAAAAGCGTGTGCGAGCAAGGAGGCCTACAAACCTGACTCAGTTACACCAGCTCTGTCAGGAGGAATGGGCCAACATTCACCTAACTTATTGTGGGAAGCTTGTGGAAGACTAACCGAAACGTTAGACCCAAGTTAAACAATTTAAAGGCAATGCTACCAAATACTAATTGAGTGTATGTAAACTTCTGAACCACTGGGAATGTGATGAAAGAAATAAAACCTGAAATAAATAATTCTCTCTACTATTATTCTGACATTTCACATTCTTAAAAGAAAGTGGTGATCCTAACTGACCTAAAACAGGGAATTTTTACTCTGATTAAATGTCAGGAATTGTGAAAAACTGGGTTTAAATGTATTTGGCTAAGGGGTATGTAAACTTCCGACTTCAACTGTATATAGGTATGAGGGTCGTTCTTGAATTACGGTGACATTTGGCCATGCGATTTTGGTAAAATTAACTTCAGTTTTCTCACTTTATTTAAAGTGGAACTGATAGCGTTTTAACTACTTTGCAGATATGAAACAAACAGACAATTATATTATCAGTAAAAAATATAAAATTCCCAGTTCATGCTTCAAAATAGGTTCTATTTTACTCCAAATTCCATGACGTACAGTAAGACATTGTTGGCAGAATAGATGGATGCAGTTCAATGCATGATTAATATAATTCACCAAAACATTTCTTTGTAGGCGAAATAATATTGCTATCAGGTTATAAATCACAGCTGGCCTGGTACATTGTTTGCTGCCTCCACTCATTTCAGTTTCAATGACTCAATATTTTGAACAACAATGGACAACTGTGACTAAGGCTGGAAATGTCAATACAATCAAACTAGCAAGGTCAATGATCACAAGTCAGTCATAACATGGCTAATAGGCTAGCGCACATGTTTCAAGCACAAGGCCCGCGTGCCGAATAGGACACACAAGTATAAATGAGTCAGCAGTTGAGACATCTATTTTATGAAATTACAGCCTGATGCATTTTCATCAGTGAATTCAACTTCAATTGCGCTGCTTTCATGTGTCCTGTTTACAGCGCGCAGCAGAGGGAAAGTGTGACACGTCACAGTCTGAGCTAGGCTGTCTGGCTTCGGTTTTTAAAGCTTGACAATGAATAACCAAAAAGCAAAACCTGCAACAAACCACCATGCAAAGGAGAAACATGTAGACCTATTACAGCAACATTTGAGCAATAGGCTGGCTACTCAACTACAATACATTTTGAGTGCACCATACAGCAATGCTGCATTCAACCGAAACCGGTGATCCATGCAGTGCAAAAAAATGATAGAACAACCTATAACTACATTTTTGTTATTAAATACATTTTCATTAGGGTTGCATCATATTATGAACATCTGCAAGCATAGCAGCAAAGGCTGGACAAATATTATTTATTGATTTATTGTTTTAATATGTTAAAATTATCTATACAGCATCCTATGTACGCAAGTGGATGTTAGGAGAATTTCTATCTCTAATTCAACCTAAGCTTGAATCATTACCAGAGGTTGTAAGGCTCTGGTTTTAATCATAAATGATTCAAGGTCCACAACCAACAAGAATGATCTGTATGTTTATTCATGGAGAGCTCTGGCGCCCAAAACACATACTGTTTTATACCCCTTGACACACAAAGGCACTTTGCTCCGCCCACCTTTAGGAGGCTTTCTTAAACAGTTTCTACCTTTCTCCTTACCCTGGAATGTTTAGTCCCGCTGTTAGTGGTTTACACATTTATACTGTATTTGGGGTGAAATCCTTTAGTCATTATTCTTAAAATACAAATTAATCTATCAATCCACCCCTTTGACTAAATGGTTTCATTTTCAGGATAAATGTATTACATATTCAGGATAAATCTCAGAGATCACGTCAGAACTAATAAACATTTCATCCAATTGCGGTCTTTCAGGGTCCAAATCCCCGTCATCCACCAAGCCTGGAGGATCGTTTTTTCACATTCCCCTGGTCAGAGTCCGGAGTCAGTCCATCTTTCATCATTGTTTAGATACTGCATTTCACCAACGCCTGACTCCCCAATCCTCGGACACAGGGAACAAGACAACAACCACATAATACAAGAATAGCCATACAAACACTGACCGCTCCTAAGATGGTGGCTGCTATGGTTTTCCATTTACCAAATATTTCCTCAAACCACCCTATCCACGATGTACTAACTTCTGAGTTCTCAGTTCATTCTTCACTTAGTGCAGTTAATTCTGTAAGAGCTCTGGTGACTGTCCCCCTTGTAAATGTCATATTTCAGTTTTTAGCCAATACAATCACGGTTACATCAAATGTTCCCTCAGTTAATGGTATTTTCTCCCTAATATTTCATACCCCTCTTATTTCCCTAAATGAGATTTAATCCCTTGCCTTTCCTCTACTATCCTTCTATCATTACTGAATCAATGATAATAACTGTAATAACTATCAATAATAATTGTAATAACTATTACAAATTATATTGTGCCCTTTTTCTGATGTTATAATTGTAGCCTATTCCATCACTTTAGTTTAAAATATAAGTTTCTTTATAACAAATCCAGAACCCACCACAGGCTGGCGCTATTCCCCCAGCACAACAGCCAATGCCACTTGCTTCCCCGTAACGAAAATAAATTATCGTTCTAAAATTTTCCAACTATTTGTATTTTCCCGCTAACCCATTTCAGTTCACTATTCAATCTCTTTAACCGTTCTCTCTGATTCGGCCCCAATCAATAAAACAAATACTTGATATCGTTGATAAGCATACACTTAATGACATTCCTACCATCTGAACTATGTATTGTCTCTCACTTCTCCCCCCCCCCTCTCCTGCTCTTTCCTACATTATTGGGGAGGCGCGGGACCTTACCTACACATTTTCCTTATTAGGAAATAATGTCATTCGTACTTGTAACATATTTTCATAGACCTATCTAGAATACTACTAAAGCTATCTAATGCAACTTTTAATACACGTAAAAACTCTCTCTACCTACACCCATTCCCCATTGAATAAGTGCGTCTTCCTAGTTACCCCATAACCACGCCTCAAATCTTTTATTCAGCATTTAACCAACCAAATACTAAGTAGTATCCGGTTATCATTCATACCCGCCGTTGAATTCCCTCATACACACATATTTCACCTTATGCCATTCAAATGCCCAACACAACATAATAGTTCAATGGAACCCACTATTGGCTCTCTACTATTTATACATTACTTCTATAACCACTTTAGTTATGGTCCGATTACCCATGAAACCTTATCACATAACCTTATCACCTAATCAAACAACGGCACAACCTTAAACTCATCCCCGCCGGCTAGTAGCCCAGTAACCAAGCGCACCGTCTCAGTAACCGAGGTCGCCGGCTCCAACTCCCGAGCCGACCAGGCGAAAAATCTGCCGATGTGCCCCCAAGCAAGGCACCCAACCCCCACTGCTCCTGCAAGTCGCTCCGGACCAGAGCGTCTGCCAAATGACCAAAAATGCAAATGTAAATATTCTCTACTTTCTCACTCATGACGTACGTCTACGTTTGAGTGAGAAAGTTCATACATATGCATCGTTGGAATTTTATAGGTACCTCTCAAATAATCGCTTCGTGGTGTTTT